GTAGTATGATAGTGATTTTTCTTTTCAATTTCATATGAAAGTACTGCCACGTTGTTAACATTATACGGTCGAACCTATCTTTGTCTTCGGCTATGAAAGTAGACTTGCCTTCTATGAAAATAGTTCCGCTTTCGGTAATGGGCACTATTTGATCTCTCGACATGACTATGAATTATCACATGAATGCGATTCTCAGCATTACCTGTTTTCCAGTCATATAATACTTCGTTTACAAATTTATATTTTAAAATTACTGGGTCAAAATTGACAACATTGGGGAACTGATTTACATGCAGCATGCTTTTAATATATAGTGAAAAATACCTGTGTACGTATATTTACATTCACATCGACGCATTATACGATGTATCAATCTTGATAAAGTAAATGTATTTTATTGTGGTTCACTTAAACTTCGACAAAACGAAAAAGAAACTTTGCTTCACACATATCTCCTCTAATGCTGTCTAAGTGACCATATAATTGAGATTCTGGACGAGTTTTCCATTTAGCTAATTAAGGCAGTGTTCGATTATTTATGTTTACCTATGATGTAAAAATAATTCAGAACTCTTACCTTATCATCGTTAATTTGAATTTCAATGAACTTTGTCCTCTCTCCATGGTCAAAGGTGAGTGTCCCTTCAGTGTTTTCGTAGTCCCTGCCGTGAATGGCTGTCATGTCCTTGGTTTTCCATGTGATTGTGACCTTACCATCAGCTCCGTCTATCCTGTTCACCGGGACCAGTGCTGTTCCTACACTCTCCTTGAACAGGAAACTTGGGTGTTCAAACTCCAATACGCCTGGGTCTAAAACAGATAGGATGATATAATGCATAACAATTATTGTCATAAAATGAATAGTATCATATTATTATAATTATCAAAATACAACACAGAAAGAACATTCTAGTATATAAATGTTGTAATATAAAATAAACAGCGCGATGCAAGTATAATAGTTATGAAAAAATTGGATCATTTAAAAGAATTTATAATAAAACATATTTTACATTATGGATAGCATATTGTTATGTATAACTATTATAATTGAATAGTAATATAATAGTACCAAATCAAGTAACAGCCAACATGCTGATTTGTCTACAGATTCCCTAATACGTAGATGAGACCGAAGATTTTCGAAGCCATATATCTTAACGTAAAGAGTACCATCAAGCGAAGTATTAGATAAAAATTTAGTATTTGCTTACAGTATCAAAAATTAAAGAAGAAAAAGGGAAAGGATATTCAAATGGTCAAACTAGGAACCTGTCCAGGGCCAATCCTTTACTTTTCCATTATTGCTAAACACATCATGATATCTAATATTTACCGTCGTCGTTGAGTATAACAATCTCAGTTATCGCCCTTCTGCCAACTACTGCGTTCTGTTTTTCGGAATCGATGGTAATTCTGCCGAAGAACACCTCATCTGGTTCCCAGATGTTGTCGTCGATAATCTGAATGTCGATGTGTTTCTCTGTCTCGTTGGGCTCAAACACCAGCGTGTCCTTAAAGGAAATGTAATCCTCTCCCTCCACAGCCGTCCCGTCTATTGTCTCCACCCTAACACAAAAAGTAAACATTCGTTCATGTTATCAAAATTGACGTTTTCATTAAGGCAACAATCATGCGAATTTGCATACATATGCAAATTTGTTAGATTCTACAAAATCAACAACAAAATGTATTATAAACCCAAACCCATAGACAGAAATCAAACGCAATGATGATTTGAAAAGAACACATCCAGCGACTGCAGAAACATATCAAACATCATGAACCGCCACATAAATCAGACTAGCCCAGGTGAACCAGGTGGCTAAACCAGGTGCTTTGAATGGGAAGGCTTTTTATTACACCACATGTGGTAACCGTCATTAAAAGATAATCGTTTTCTAAATTCTAAATTCAACATAAAAAGATGAGTACTAACCTTTGAGTTTACCTACCGAGTACATGTTTTGTTTCAGTGTTTCAACTTACCTATAAAGTACGCGGTTTTTAAGATTGCCATGTCGCATCACAGTGATACGTGCATGACCATCTTTTTCGAAAACAGCTGTAGATGGTGCTGCAAACTCAATGATGGCCTTTGTGCCACCGTCACTCATGGATGTAAATGATGCTGTTGAGCCCATCTGGTCCTCAATCAGCAAGGTCTCCAGTAGCTGTGACATAATAATTGAATGTCAAATATTAACAACAGGGATTAACAACTACCATGTTTAAGGTCTTTGGTATGTCCCGGCCTAGTGACAAAAAATATTGCAATGGGTGCAGCAGATTAATTTTGGTCGCTTTTTTGTCCCAAAGTCGAGGGCACAAACGGAAATCCCCAATTATTCAGGGTGATTCCTACATGACTTATCTCTTACGACATATAGCGGGTAACAGCAGGTGTATTGCTTTCTTAAACCCCGACCTTCAGGAGTGTTACAAATTGATCTTTATAGTGTCGGAAATCGTTTTTTCATCAAGGAAGATTATTTTTTCAAGAATATCATATTTGTATTACTGTTGTTTTTATATTTTGCCATATGTTGCATCTGTGAATGCAATTCCCTTTCTACCTAAACACGCTATTACCAGGAATAAAGAAAAAATTAGGAAAATACCCACCTCGTTAGTTTTGCCGGTCATTGTCGTTGTAAGTTTTGTTCCTCCAGAGAGATTTCGGATAGCATTGATCCTGTACCAACCGCGTCCGTGTGACTGGTTCTGCTCCATCAGATGGGCCGTAAGCCGAGCCATATCGTCTGGAGTGGCTTCCTTCTCGCGCTTCAGCCTCTGTGCATATTAATATACCAATCATCAGTGTAACACAACGAGGTGCTTCTACTTTGTAAGTGTTGTCAAGCAAAAGCTACGTATGCAACAAAATATAATGTGTAGCACATAAAAATACATAACAAGACCAATGGTACATTTCCTTTCTGTTATATAACTGGTTTGGCGATATGTCATCATTTTTTATACACTGTCAAACATTTGATCAATATTTACCCTGAGAATTTCGACGATGACATGTTTATCAGCATGGTCTCCGTTAAGAAGATTTTCTTCATCTGCAATATATACATATACACAATCATAGCCTCAGCGTCTACCTTAAAACCGCCCAAAAGAATATATGCAAACAGCAAGAGAAGAAAATGACATTTTTCATCCAAGGGTGATCGATACATCAAAGACAATCTTTATAACATTACTAGGAATCGTCACCGATAATGAGAGCTTTAGTTATCATAAATATCGATTCTGATACTGCATTGTAACATCATCAAGTCGCGATATTTTTCCTTTCTTTATTATTTATGAAAACTGATAGAAACAAATGTGCAGTGAATACTGGAACTGCCGTTTACACATAATAATAACGTGTGGAGTATTTTGTATTAAAACCTTAATCTAATAGTTTTGAAAAATTAAAACATGCTACATATTCTAAAGTAAAAACAATCCGATGGGTTATCCATGCACTATTCCATGCAACTATAACGATGACCTATATGGTCAAACTTTAGATAACAATGTTAATGATAAGGGTAAATAGTGTCATTGTGTGCAAATTTTCTTTTTTCATAATCAAATCACCGTGATCTCATTCGACAGAAGCGAATAGTTAAAAAGAGGGGAAAGCCCTTACTCGTTGATTAGACGTTATATGATATCAGAAGAAATTCCAATGCTACGTTTTGTTTCATTAGCTATCAAGAAATAGCGTCATGAACGTTTCATCATAAAGGCTTGTACAAAGGACGAGGTTGTGATTAGTGGTCTAATCAATAATAATATCTAAAGACTAAATAAAACAAATAAGTTGGCTATAAAAAAAATCAAGAACATTCCAATGGGATTGAGACCAGAACAACATTGATAAAGGGAGACAACCAACTGTTACTCACGACAATTGCACTCTTTCTGCTGCTCCACTTTTACCCATATAACAACAACAGAGAAAGGGACAGACATGAACGATGCCAGAACAAGGTACGTAGAAGTGGAAATTTCCGTAAATTGATAATTTGGCGCATTAAAATTCCATTCAAAATCAACATTGTGTGGACATTTTCGCGTTTAAATTGCTGCCCGAATGTTTCTGTCATTCAGTATGCGCAAAACTTGCGAAAATGTCCACATTCTCATTACTAGATATTTTTCTATATACTAACTGTCCACTATTTAGTATTCGTTTATCTACATAAAACATTAAAAGACGTATGCAACATTCCATAACAATAAGTCAAACCACCTTTCAGAAGTATTCGTCCTCCACCATAATCTGAGATACAATCAAAACATTTTAAAATTCGTTACCTGCCTTGACAAATTTGGATAACTCAACACATTGGACTTAATGGTTTAAAACATTGTGCATTAAACATTTTGGTATAATTGTGATTATCCTTCTTGCTATTTTTCAAAACAATATATTTATGCTTTAATTACATCATACACGGCAAGCATAACATCAGAAATAAACAATAAAAATAAATCATCTGAATTATCCTAACACACACAAAAACAAAGTGTTTGTGATTTCAGAGTTAGAGGTATATAAAAAGTACTTGTAGTGGCAGATATCATTACCTGTATTTGCATTAAAAATATAAAGCCACGCTAAAACTTACATTATTTAAGAAAATTATTTATATTAGAAAGACTTTTTGTTAATATATTGACAGAAAAAAACTTTCTGTGTATGAGAATAAATTGATTGGAACCATATGAAACATCCTTATTATTTGTTACGGAATCATTTTAAGGTATCCGTTATTGGAATTATTCACGTATAAACTAATATGAAGCAAAGTGTTTCTAGGAAAGGGTCTGACTCTTCGTGAATTATGTTCTTTTTTTAATTTCTGATTAATAGAAGGAAGGAAAAGGCAATCCAAATATCCTGGTCAAATCATTACGTATATTGATATATGGATGATTTCCAATTATTATATATCTGTCTCCAAATTCGTTTATACTGTCAATATTAACTCAAGGCAATCGTCTGATTTTGAGCTAAGATTTAACACACAGGGGCTGAACAATAGCATTGGTTTATTGTTAAAACAATGACTGGCCATAATCGGGTTATATCTCTTCGTATTATTTTGTTAATATTTTCTTTCACACCAAAGTATCCTTAACTTTGTGAAATAGAATGATGCATCGCTCTTTTAGTTTGTTGTTCATGTGATGGTTAAGGAACTCTTTGATTCTTTTACGTATAACTTACCTAATTCTAGCAGCTTGCTTTCGTCATCAATTGGTTTCTTGCCACAGTAGTCTTTGTCAGCAATGTATGCCAAGAGGACCATGATAGGGAAGAGGAGTAATGTTACGATGGCTTCCCATAAGTCGACGAAATCAGGTGTTATAACCATCAAAATGATGGCCAGCCAAATATATGCGAAAACACTAAATATAGAAGTTACAGCGAACACCTTGATGTTCCGAATGCGCTTAGCAATCCCGTCAGGAATACTTATTATGCATATACCAGTTATACACATCAAGTTGAAGGCAGCAGAACCCACGATTGTACTGGGACCCAATGGTCCTGATTGGAACCCATTTCCAACTATTTCAATGATGGACAAGAGAATTTCTGGCGCACTAGACCCAAGCGCCATGAGTGTGAGATTGGCAACTGTTCCATTCCACGTTTTTACTTCCACTTCAGTGTAGCCGGTCTCGTTTGAAGGATCAGGCATCTTGATTTTGGCGCTGCGACTGGTGATGGTCTCGATAGCTTGCATGAAGATGTCGGCTATGATGGACACACCCATGAAGCTGTACAGTAAGCCAACAATGTACACAAACGCCCGGAACCCGATGCTCCATGTGTACTCGTTTGTAAGAGGCAGGATGAGCCCCTTATCGGCGCATTTGTAGTCCGAAATATCGCAAGACATTATGGCTGGTGTATATCAGGAGTGTGCGTCTTAGCACTCGAAGATTGGTATACCTTCCTTGAAATCTACGAGAAAAATATACATACATTTTAAAAAATCAGCGTGAATGTTCTTTTGCAATCTACAAATCAAACTCGAAATACCACACACTAATGTTTGCTCTATAATAACATTTTGTTAATCCCTTAATAATACACAAATTAACTACGATTTATGTGGTGTTTCCTGAATGAACTTTACAACAAAGGTCACATGGGGTATAACATGACATCATACATTTAAACGGATTGATTTAATACTAATAGTTAGCCAACAGGCTAACAATATCACTTATATTTAGAACCCAATGGATGCTATTTAGAGACGGTGATCAACTCTAGTATTAAATAAACGTTATTAAATAGCGTATCATTACAAAAATAAACGTTTTATTGTGTAGTAGCAGAAAGCTCCGACATGCTACAATAGTCTAGCTATGTTGAGGAGGAGCACATACTATTTACTTCAGGGTACATATGACCACACTATAACATGCCAATTTGTATTCTATAACTGACCAAAGATAAATGTCTCGTTTTCGAAATCAGTTTGGATCAGTAAAGCATTTAGTAAAACATGCAAATGCTGTGCCAACTATTCTGTGTTATATCACGCTAGGCCTAAAATGTAATGTCGTCATTTGTCTGAAGGACTCGGGGCGTTGTGTCATTGTTGGCCTAATAAAAAGTAAAACTTTTAACTTGAATTTATTTACCAATTTCTGTTATTAACATCATACTAGTTAATAGGGGCTATCTTTCTTGGTGCATATTTTTACAATGCGCATGCGTAGATGCCCTACCATGGCAACGGCATTGCGTTGATATGCAGAAAAAGTCAAAATATAGTGTTTTTGGACAGTTAGCATGCAGTAATGAAAGTCTCCGCATGTGATAAACAAAACGTTCCTTCTACGAATGAACAATGGTATGACAATGTTTATTCATGTTTGTTGCATGCAGAGGCTTTCGAAAATTAAAAAAAAAAAGATAATTTCCTTCAAAATGGCCAATTGTCAACCAAATAGCGCAAAACGGACGATATTCACACATTTTAGTATGCAAATGCGGGTTTATGTCTCTCTTTGTGATGCCAAATCTCTTAAACCAGTTGTCAAATGAATTTGATATTTCATATTTGCATACTTCATTTATCCTAGATAACGAATATAAAAACTAACTCAAAATCTGTGATGATGCCAGAAATGACCCTTAACGACCCTAGTCCTTTCAGTTTAACGTTATATTATGGACACCAACTTTCCCTTCCCTGATATGATATGTTGACTGTATTGATTTAATGACTCTATACTGGATTAATTCTATTTAAGTGTTTTTAATCCTTTGAAAATGCATTTTGAAAATAGGTATAAACTTCCTTAACTAATGTATTCGATGAAAGTAAAATGCTGTCCCTTTTGATATTCTTTTGTGCAATTGCAGTCTTTTAACTGAGTATATTATAAAAACCATTTATTGATTCTTACTACGAAACTTACTACTTAATCAGTAGGTATCAAAGGATAAATAGGAAATAGGTAATTCTTCAGCATTACATGTCCAACGTATGACAGTGATATTGAAGAAAAACTAATTACTCGCCCCGATATATTTGTCTGTACCTCTATACTATATTTTATTCAATACTAACCACATGTTACCTTCGGAGCATTTCTATAATGACATAAGAGGTGTATTGTACATGATGGGCATCGAATGCCTTCGGGTCTTACTGGAGCCTATCGACATTGACCTTGTATACCGTAGTAGCGTAGTAACCCACAGTGACCTGAGAACGCGGTCCTTCAGGTGTGAATACCATATACAGTGTCACACTGTATAATAATTAGCACCCTACGTCGTTAAGAGAGTATAAATCGCGAGTTCCTTTGTCAGAACATATTCAATACCTTGATCCTACGTTACGTCTGTACGTGTGTCGTGAATAATTTATAAAAATCGACAGATAGGACGGTGGATTGTAGTACACTGATCCCCAAAGGACCAACAGCACTGTTCTGTATAGAGCCTGCTGTATAGTAAACTGTTCAGAAATAGTGGCAACTGCACAGTGTAATGGTCAATACTTCGTCGAATTGGCGTTGGTGAAGAAATATAACAAATTCTTAAATGAAAATGAAAATCATATGAGGATAACGCAACAAGCATACAGAATTTCAAATATAACCTATCGCAGTACTCATATGACCTCATGCATGTAAAATACATGGTAACAACGAAAGACATACAAAAATACACATATTAACTACCACAATACACATGACGAAGGAAAATACCCATATCACTTATCTCAAAACTATTATTTATAACAAGACAAAATCGGCCTACAGCAATACACACATGATTTATTATAATACACAGTATACCTGTTATAATACACACATGATTTATTATAATACACAGTATACCTGTTACAATACACGCATGACCTCTTACAATACTTATGATCTCTTGTATTGCACATAATACCTTTAACAATACAAACATGAACTATTACAATACAAACATAACCTATTACAATACACCCATGACCTATAAATAAATATCTAACCCCCATTTGACATATCAATTCACTTTAGAATTATGACCTATACCAATAGACATAAGACCTATCACATTACACTTTAGAATTAGGACATATACCAATAGACATAAGACCTATCACAATACACTTTAGAATAATGACCTATACCAATAGACATAAGACCTTCCACAATACACGCATGACATTATACAAAACACAATAACGCATAACGATGAACATATGACCTATCACAATACACAATGCGAACGACTTATCACGAGGCATAAGTAAAGTAAGTTGAAAATATATATGAAAACTTAATCATTATAATTGATTTTAATCTTTCTGATTTACATAATATTCTTGCTTGGGTATTTGAAAAGGACATAACTTGAATGTATAAGTCGTTATGGTGAGGTTTGTATGTTCAATATGAACCTATAATGGTTTGTTATTGTGATCGTCTAAACTCAATCAGTAACGTTACTGACAATGTTCGTGCCGACGAGTCAGAAATCAATAACACCTAGCGTCAGTGTACAAGATCGGGGATAAATTTCATTAACGTCATATACATGTTTATATATATCCTCAAGACGAGGGGGAAATGTCGTTTTCTTTTAAATGATGTAACTATTTGTTAGACTTGTGCTTGTCTGAACTATAAAGATATTTTGTTGAGAACGCATGCATTATTGACAAAATATGCAAGGTATATTTGGTGTACGATGTAAGTAAACAACTTGGCCAAGGTGCTTCAGGCATTGTTAGCCTAACGATAAGTTTACCGTACATAATACACTGTTTATCACTACCGTTAAGGTATCCCTTTAAGGTTCATATTGTCGTATGTATCACGACCTTTTACTCACTAAAGGACATGTTTGCCATTATTCCCTTTAAAAAAGAATTAAGGATTCGAGAAAACATACGCAACCTTTTGTAAGCTAAAGATATCTACCAACTGGCCCATACCGTTACTACCCTGTACAACATCAGACGTTCGAGTCACCCATGGCGAGTAGGCAAACGTGCCAACACTAACCACCCAACACTTTCTAAACCTATACGTTCGTGTGAACTTGGATATTTTGTGGGAGGACGCGGCTTACTGGTCCTTATAAATATTATTTACATAAGTTTTACTAAACCGTTATGTCAATAGACTTAGCATTTATTAAAGATTCAGTCAAATTGAGCATGTCGGTTGTGAACGGTTTATATATGCCCTTAGTGACGTTTTCTGATCATTATGGAGATAACGTGGTACCGGTTTCTTTTCTTTTTATTAGTTTATTATATTTTTTTCTGTTTCTGTAAAGAAGATTTCTCGAAAATGTATTAGATATGCACTTAACACACAGATACGCATGTACGTGTATATGTCTTTTTGTTTTTAGTTTTTAGTTGTTTATCGAAAGATATCTAAAAAGAACAAATTCAAAAACTTTCCTTTGTTGGTTATAACGTCAATGCATTAAAAATGTAATTTATTAGATGTAAAGGTTAAAAGGTTAAAGTTACAACAATATCATTCAGTTCGTCTTGTATGATGTGACATAAATGGAGAAGATAAAGCGTCTTTGTAAGATGCATAGGTGAAAGTCTATGATTGTGTTTATTATCAGGTACATATACCAATGTTAAGCTGGTGGTTTAGGGAATACTATTCCCTTTATAAGACTCGCGAGATAAATCCTTTCACTCGTTTTTTTCATTAATGCACAAATCGCTGAGTACTGCTCCTGTGATATGAATGTATTAAGGTGGAGTGTCCCTCGCTAGTAACGATATTGTGCGTGGTTTTACCGCAGCAACACGCTACTGCTCATAAATGGACTGGACGTACGTTTATTGCCACGAGATAATACTGCCACTTCCCATCAGGTATGTGACCTTTTCGTGGGGATTATTTCTCACATGTTTTATTTGTACATGCAGTAGCCTAGATACATTGTCCTACAATATATATATATTTGTGTTTTGAGATACACATCATTCAGAAGTAAATGAATATAGTATCATGATTAAAAAAACACTTTCGAAAATGATTTGTTTTATTTAAGTACAGTCAAATGTTGCATTTTACCATTACTTTACCTTATTTGTTGTTGAAATACAACATTGTTGTATAAAGTGACATTGTCATAGTTTTGGATATTTTTTGGCAAGTTTCTATAGATCTTCAAAGGATTGAAACAAGCTCATTTTGTTATAACTGAGTAAAGGGGGGATCACAAGGATATGTTTGAGCCACTTTTATGGTTATGCTACCAATAAATTTAAAAAAAAAAATAACGTTATTAATATCTCTAGCAAAACAGTTTTCAAATCCAAGGAGAGTGAAAATGGAAATATAGCATGTTATGTATTAAGCGTTTGCATGTATGTCATTATAAGTAATTAAAGACTATGACGCTTAGACTTCAGACCCTATTCTCGGTGTTTTTTCTTTGATAGTGAATTCAGCCTTTGCTTGTATAATGGTATAAACAGGAACTAGTAAAGGTTGATTTAAACCCACATTGAATTGTCCCCGGATGATCAATGTAAACCAGTAGTTAGTAAAGTCCCGCCGTTGTTGTGAATTCCCGCGTGTATACATTGACGTGTCGTACATGGTTTCCAACTGTTCTTTTATTGTGCTTAACTGACCATACAAATAATTGGCAGGGGAAGAATGGCCGGTATTAAAAAACCCGCTCAGATGTAATCATCATAGTTAAATAGCATTATAGCAGTACTTCATTATAGCAGTACTTCTTACAGTCTAGCATGTCATGTTTAACCAAAAACGTGGAGCTCTTTTCCATAATAGACTAATGGTTTTAAATTTCACCTGCTTTATGCTCACGATATGTTCTCGTAGTGTTGTTAGTCGTCTTAAAGTAAAAACTTTATCGCAAACTTTAAAACCAAAAAAAAAATCAATGGAGTAGCAATTAAATATTACTTACAAGTAAACACCAAAAGGGAACGTTTTAGTCAGACTACGTATATGGCATTACAGGACTGATATACATACACATTCTTGTAATATGATGTTATATGTACATGTAACTGTTCTGTTCCACTGTGTCTTGATAAAGGAGCGGAACGCTCCGAAATTTGACAACCTATACTTGTCCACACTGTTGGAATTACTTCTTTGCCCCATACACATATATATACATATATATAACACCAGCTACTACTGATATACATATATATATATAACACCAGCTACTACTGATGCTCATAATAAGCATATTCGCTAACGATAAGATAGTTAAGAATGTAATTTATATTATTATAATAAATAGGTTGGGTTCTAGAAATGCGTATATAAACACAGTTAGCCTCGTGTACCTGTTTTATATATGTGGACAAGTGACAGCCCGATATACTATTTTCTACATTTCATAAAAATGTACCCGATGTTGGCCAAAACTTAGTAATGGTTAATTGAGATATACACAGCAGGTCACGAAACACGTGTATGGTGTTATTCCCTCTAGTTATTACGATGTGTACCTACAATGTAATAAGCTACAAGCTACATATACTACTCGGTAGTGTGCCCAGATTATATGACGTAGAGCAGGTCAGATTATTGATCCAATGTTGTACCGACAAATATTCCGGGAGTGCAAATAATGGATACTAGGACAGCATGTAATGGTCGGTACAAACAAGTATGGTGCAGTTGCCTAGGAGTCAGAATTGCGTGTGAATGTAAGGACAGAACTGATCCATTGGTTAATCAACGTGTCTTCTAAGCGTGACACATGACAAGGAGTTGTACATTATATATATACATAATAAAGCAAATTCTTTTATTTAATATGAAAACAAGTGAATGTTTTATATGGAGGTATATATATATATATGATTGCCCTGGTTCTGACACACACGAGGAAATGCCGTGTAACTAAGGTCTACTAATAAGAGGACCTCACTGTACTACTGTATCATTGACCTAACAGAATAGTTATAACAGAAGATGATTAACACAACATCGAAAAAGCACAGCACATGGTTGTAGTGTTAGTATAGTCATCAATGAAATTGCTATTTTATAGTAATAATTAAGTGATTTAGGTATTTAAACTCATCAGCTATGTTTATATTAAAGTTTAGATTAGAACAAGGATTTTACTGATTTCTGTGATAAATTATTGAAAAATCCCCAGCACTGATAAAAGGCTCAATTCTCCTTGCCTTCAGTAATATTGGTATCATTTACTTATGGGATATGTGGCAAAATATTACAACCTAGAGCAACCGAGAATGACAGGTAAACAAGCGCATGTGTCATCTCCACAGACTTGATTGTCATTTATCATATTACTGTGAATGAAGTACAATATTACAAAATAATTATCCATTTTTTATATAAAGTAAAATAATCTTACCTTAGTTCAGTCGAAATCTCATGCTGTTTGTTGGTTTGATAGGTTCGTTCATACACTGGCTAGCGTAGCCATAGATTAGACCGTACGATCTGTGCTGTTTATTGTTGGTTGCTAAAACAGCCGAGCCTGCGTTACTCCAGTAAGGTGTGTAGCCAGCCGTGAAGCCTCAACAATCAGATAAGGGACGTAACTCCAGATATCACACGATATACTTCAAAGGAAAATAATGGTAGAATGTTTGAATCATGAAATTTATATTATTATTTCAGTTCCAATAATGTCTATCATCACTCTACATGTTTTATTAAAGAGAGCAATTATGCAAATAATATCATTACAGGTAAAGGAATAAAAATATGTTTTGACATCGTCAAAACAGAGACGTATACATTGTATGTTACATGTACATACGTCTCTGGTCAAACGAAGTGTTCTTAGCAAACGTATTAAGCGACAGCTTTATTTCTGTTGGGCAGATGATTTTTTTCAGATCATCCAGAGTATGAAAAAAATATTATAGTCGATATCATATCGTATCAAGTTTAGCAGCGGTTTCGGTTTGGGTCTAATCTAATGGATGGTATTATGCAAGGAAACCACCATCGTAAATAGCATTTATTTGAATTCCTGCATTGCCTGTTTGACTACTCAACATTAAAGCCTGTGTTAAAATGGAACTCTAGAATATAACGTCTACTGCATATGAGTTACTGAAAACGTTATCGCGGTAACCTGAAAATATATTTAACATTAGTTCGACACGGGTATGGGGTTTCCAGATTTATTTTGACTTTGGCGCCTTTACCTCCTGTTCTACATAATGACTTTGGCCCCTTTAACTCACCTCCTGTTCTACATACTGACTTTGATCCCTTTACCTCCTGTTCTACATACTGACTTTGGTCCCTTTACCTCCTATTCTACATAATAACTTTGTCCCTTTACCTCCTGTTCTACATAATGACTTTGACCCCTTTACCTGTTGTTCTTCTTAGTGACTTTGGCCCCTTTACCTCATATTCTACTTAGTGACTTTGGCCCCTTTACCTCCTGTTCTACAAAATGACTTTGTTCCCTTTACCTCCTGTTCTACGTAATAAATTTGGCCCCTTTACCTCCTGTTCTACTTAGTGACTTTGGCGCCTTTACCTCCTGTCTACATAATGCCTTTTGCCCCTTTACCTCCTGTTCTACTTAGTGACTTTGGCCCCTTTACCTCCTGTTCCACATACTGACTTTGGCCCCTTTACCTCCTGTTCTACATAGTGACTTTGGCCCCTTTACCTCCTGTTTTACATACTGACTTTGGTCCCTTTACCTCCTATTCTACATAATGACTTTGACCCCTTTACCTTCTCTTTTACATACTGACTTTGGCCCCTTTACCTCCTGTTTTACATAATAACTTTGGCCCCTTTGCCTCCTGTTCTACATTATGACTTTGGCCTCTTTACCTCCTGTTCTACACGCTGACTTTGGCCCCTTTACCTCCTGTTCTACATAATGACTTTGGCCCCTTTACCTCCTGTTTAACATAATGACTTTGGCCCCTTTACCTCCTGTTTTACATAATGACTTTGGCCCCTTTACCTCTTGTTTTACATACCGACTTTAGCCCCTTTACCTCCTGTTCTACATTATGACTTTGGCCCCTTTACCTCCTGTTTTACATAATGACTTTGGCCCCTTTACCTCCTGTTCTACATACTGACTTCGGCCCCTTTACCTCCTGTTTTACATAATGACTTTGGCCCCTTTACCTCCTGTTTTATATAATGACTTTTGCCCCTTTACCTCCTGTTTTACATAATGACTTTGGCCCCTTTACCTCCTGTTTTACATACTGACTTTGGCCCCTTTACCTCCTGTTCTACATAATGACTTTGGCCCCTTTAACTCCCTTTCTACATAATGACTTTGGCCCCTTTACCTCCTATTCTACATACTGACTTTGGCCCCTTTACCTCCTATTCCACATACTGACTTTGGTCCCTTTACCTCCTATTCTACTTAGTGACTTTGGCCCCTTTACCTCCTGTTCTACATAATGACTTTAGCCCCTTTAACTCCCTTTCTACATAATGACTTTGGCCCCTTTACCCCCTATTTTACATAATGACTTTGGCCCCTTTACCTCCTGTTCTACATACTGACTTCGGCCCCTTTACCTCCTGTTTTACATAATGACTTTGGCCCCTTTACCTCCTGTTCTACATAATGACTTTGGCCCCTTTACCTCCTGTTTTACATAGTTCACAAATCATGTTAAAGTCGATGTTACACAATCGTATAACCAGTCGAGTAAATAATCGTGTAAACACACAGTCATGTAAACACACAGTCGAGTAAATAATCGTGTAAACACACAGTCGAGTAAATAATCGTGTAAACACACAGTCATGTAAACACACAGTCATATAAACACACAGTCATGTAAACACAGTCATGTAAATAATCGTGTAAACAGTCGTGTAAACACACAGTCGAGTAAATAGTCGTGTAAACACACAGTCATGTAAACACACAGACATGTTAACACAGGCATGTAAACACACAGTCATGTTAACACAGTCATGTAAACACACAGTCATGTAAACACACAGTCGAGTAAATAATCGTGTAAACACACAGTCATGTAAACACACAGTCATGTTAACACAGGCATGTAAACACACAGTCATGTTAACACAGTCATGTAAACACACAGTCATGTTAACACAGTCATGTAAACACACAGTCATGTAAACAATCGTGTGAACAGTCGTGTAAACACACAGTCGTGTCAAAAGTTGTTTGCTTTTTAACTATTATTCATTAAAGGTTTTTTGTCAACTTAAAAATATGCATACATGATGTTTTCAATAATTATCTTCAACAATACAGGAATTAAAGTAAGTAATTTTCATTATCATAATTATATAAAACGTATAATAGGTTAAACTTGTCAATTATAAAATAATATTTAGCCTAAAGGTATTTATTTTTTTTAATTAAAAACTGCATTTAGCGCAATTATTTTGAAGAGCAAACATGCATTATTGTTTGTCCACTATCAGAGTTTTAAAACAATCAATCACCCTCACCTCAAAAGTTGTTAATGGCATTTTTTTTATTTATTATCAAAGATTGTTTTTTGTACTGTAAATCTAGAATCTTGTAGAATGAAAGCGAAGTATCGTTGCATGGTTTTACCCTTCAGGCATAAGCTATTTTACGTTGGGTTTTTATGTTTAGAAGAAGTTGTTCAGGTTTGAAGGAATATTATGGTGACTAAAAGCACGAGGACCTTAATTATGGTAAATGAAAAAGGGGCAAATAAGATGGATTAGAAAAGATGTAAAGTAAGACAAACTGATTATAAACGAGAGACTTAGTGTACTTCTCTGATATATTTCATATGTGTGGACTTCAGTGTAGTTCTCTACACGATGATTTAATTTTCCGAATACACATGCGGAACTCAACTAAAAGATACTTTCTATTACTTTTTTATTTGCAACAAATATTCAAAAGAAAAAAAGAAAAAACCTGTATTTCATTTCTTCCTTGATTCCCTGTGGAAGGGGAGGTTAAAATGAGCATTACATTTTGTATCATCCTCACCCCTTCCCTACACCGAAACATCGCAATCCTTTTTCCTTCGTCTGTTTTTATCTATATTTGATATGTAGACATTTTCTTTTTGAAAATAAGATCGAATATCAATTTCGTTGAAAGTGAGACTTTTAATTTGTTTTAATTGGTGTGGGTTTTTTTTATCTATTTATGATCATATGTTGACAATCTTTGTGCAGAGTTAAGTACATGCACACATACATGCTCACACGCAAACGCACGCTCTAACACATCATCGTCATTCGACCAAATTGTTCTCAATCATATTTCCTTAACCTTCTAACGAACCCTCTGTAGGTGTTTTTAAGTGGCATTGTTTAATAAAATTGAAACGGATATCTTGATAGCACCGACATTGATGTAAAACAGTATCATAATCACTTATATCATTTTCATAACATACAAGGTACATTTCTTTCTCCTCTCGAAACATTTTTGAGGAACATAGTTTAGAAGATTGAAGTTAATTGCTCGGTGCTGTTTTTGTTTGTAGTTGATACTTTCAATGAAATATTGACATATTTATCCTTGAGAAGAATATTTAATTTCCTGCAAACAATAATAAATCATTAGAAATAAATAGGCATTATAACATGTATCGATAGACTAAAATAGACATATGCGTGAACAGGAAACAAAGAAAAGTCTTATTTCAATATACAACAAGAGGCCCATGGGCCTTAACGGTCACCTGATATATTTATACAGACAGTTGATTTTGTTTTTTAAAACGAGGAGAAATATTATCCAAAGTGACAAAAAACAATACAACCACCTTATTCAATATCTAGCATACAGATTTAAGACTAAAAACTACTTGAAACTAGCACCTCTGATTCTAAACAAGGATAATGAAGAAATTTTAGCACGCTCCTTTGGACCCCACCCTACAGCCCTTGGGGGTAGGGCTTGCTCAAAATGTTCAAAGTATCAAACTGTCAACTCAGGGTTATAATTCCAATCAAGTTATTAACATGTGATATTCAAAGTATCATTTGCCATTATAAACCATAATAAATTTGAGACTCTTATAAACCATAATAACTTGATATATACTTTCTTACGACCTAAAAAGTTTACAAATAATTGGTTGTCGGTAGCGAACTGCCTTATTGTTCCTTTATTGTAGTAAAGACGACGACTTCATCCAGGATTTCAACATCGGAATCACCAAACCAAGCATTTAAAATCCACACCAAGATCGACATTATTGAGCTAACTGGCCGAGTGTCTGCGGCAACGTTCATGATCTTTTGGGTAAACGCCAAAAAGTCACACATTTCCAATGAACTCAGTATACTGCACGCGGCAGGCTAGTTATATGTGTTTATACAAGAGAATATTGGTTTCTTGGTAGAAATAACTTTTTCGGAAAGGCATTCAATCTTCGACTGTTATCAGTATACATCAAGAAAACAATATTTTTTCTCGTTATGACATATTTTTTTAAGACATGGGCTTCCATGTACAGAAAGCTTGTCTTAAACAAAACTGAAATGAAAACCTTCAATGTTACAAGGGGTGCTGCAATGGATGCTGCTCATCTCCCGCATCAAAAATGGAAGTCTGCATAAGTCTTCAAGCTTATTATGATGCCACAATTGACCATGCTCATTTGAAACCTGCAACTGGATTGATCGGTTTATTTTGAAAGCAAGAATTGTTATTTGCGACAGTAACAAGAGTCTCAGAGGGCGACACGCTCATCTGGATCTTTATGCTAAGCAATGGTATAAGTGGCTTTCGGTGGAGATCTCAACAATTTTGTCTTTATGCCTATCAAACATATATACGGTTATGGTGTGGGGATCTCAAACGTTTCAACGTAATGGCCCAGAATTTTAGTCCCTAATGGTGGGGTCAATACTAATATCATGATTGTGTCCGTCTCTTACTGTCAAGCAATGGTATATATGGTTATGTGGTGGGGATCTCAACCATTTCAAAGTTATGACGCAAGAACAAAGATCCTAGGGGTAGGACCAATTCTAATATCATAATTGTGTTCGTGTCTTGATGCCTCTCAAACATATACACAGTTATGGGGTTATTTCAACGTTATGGCCCAGAAATTTAGACCCTATTTGTAGATCCAGACACAAGGGCCAGTCCTAATATCATATCTGTGTCGGTCTCTTGATGCACAGTAATGTTATATATGGTTATAGGGTGGGGATAGCAGCCATTTCAAAATTTCTTTTGATGCCTAGGAAATTAAATACCTGGTTATAAGTTTGTGGTCTCCGTAATGTCGAGTATAGTATTAACTCACATTGGTCCTTTGGACCAGGTGAGCTAAAAATTATGAGCTTTTATTTTTACTGTAAAACCCTATACTTAACAAAAGATCCAAGAGGGACCTTTGTACCCATCATTGTACCATCTTCATTGGTTCATGTCAGTTTGATCTTTTCTCTTATCTGTTTGATCCAGCGCAGATCCCTCCAGTACTTGTCGCCATCTAAATCATTCTTTTGATCACCCTCAAAAGTAAACATGCACAACTAAGAATCAAGAGGAACCCATATGTGAAATTTGAGATAGATCCCTCCAATACATTTTAGACCAGTCCCAAAAATGGATATACATAATAAGGGACCATGGAATACATTCATGTAAAATTTGAGAAAGAAACCCTCCAGTAGCACTTTCTTATACATAACACTTACAAACTTTAACTCTCAACTTTAAGATGGCTGGCTGTCGGCCATCTTAGTTTCGTGATTAGTCCAAGAAATTGATATGCATAACTAGAGACCATGGGGAACCTTCATGTGAACTTTAAGAAACATCCCTCCAATACTTTCCGATAAAAAGCACTTATAAACTTTAACTGTCAAATTCAAGATGACTGGCTTTCCGCCATCTTGGGTTTTATGATCAGTCTCAAAAAAAGATATGCACAACTAGGGACCATGGGGAACCTTCATGTGAAATTTGAGGAAGAACCCTCCAGTACTTTCGGATAAATAACGCACTTTCTGATAAATAACGCTAACAAACTTTAACTCTCAAATTCAATATGGCTGGCTGTCGGCCAATTTGATTTTGTGATCAGTCCCAAAAAACAGTATGAAATACTAGGGGCCATGGGGAACCTACATGTGAAATTTATGTTACATCCCTCCAGCACATTCTGAACAAGAGGACCGCAGGGCGGAACAATATACGCCCGTCGAATGCCATATAGTGTTATATACTTTCTTACATTGAATTAAGATCTGCATCATTCTAAGAGTGGTTAGCTGAAATGCTATAACAAGAGCTGTTGGAGATCAGCATAGCTCGCCTATGTATGTTATTATAATACTGCAACTATCAATAGAAACACATGTATAGTAAAACGTTGATATAGTGCCTGTCATTTTATTTTCCACCTCACTTACCACCAGGATATTTCAAGGACTGTTAAATGTGTAGAAACATCTATGTGAAGTGATTGTTAAGAAATTAACGAAGTCCAGTTAAGCTGTTTTTGACGCTAAAATATGAAAAAATGGTTCAACACATTGCTTACACTCAATACAAATACGTCAACCTTATAATAGACAACAGCATATTGATGGTGGTTGTCCAACACTTCACCAAAAAACTTCAACCTCAAATTAAACCAAGTCCAATTAAGCTGTTTTTGGGCCATAAAATATGAAAAAAATGGTCCAGCACATTGCTTACACTCGATATAAATACCTTAAACTCATAATAGACAACTGTGTATTGTGTGTGATGATCCAAGACTGTCTGGAAAAAACTTGCCCAAAAACTTTAACCTCAAATTTAACTAAGTCCAATTAAGGTGTTTTTGGGCCATAAAATATGAAAATATTGCCCAGAACATTGCTAACACTGCTTATAAATGCTTCAACCTTATAATAGACAACAGCCTATTGATGGTGGCTGTCCAACACGTCACAAATAAACTTGCCCAAAAACTTTAACCTCAAATTTAACAAAGTCCAATTAAGGTGTTTTGGGGCCATAAAATATGAAAATATTGCCCAGAACATTGCTAACACTGCTTATAAATGCTTCAATCTTATAATAGACAACAGCCTATTGATGGTGGTTGTCCAACACTTCAAGGGAGACACAACTTCATATCATAATTATAATGTATACCAAGTTTCAAAGAGATCCGTTGAAAAAAGTAGGAGATTGCCAGCAAAAATCAAAAACTGACATAAACAAAGGGCAATAACTTTTGCAAAAATTGTTGAATCAAAATTCTTTTTCAAGGAAACAACAACATATCATGATTATTTAGCCTACCAAGTTAAAAAGGAATCCGTCAAATAATGTAGATCTCCAGGGTGGAAAAAAACCTGAAATGAACAAAGGGCAAGAACTTTTGCAAAAATTGTCAAATCAAAATTCTTTTAAGGGAGACATAACTTTATATCATGAATATAATGTATAACAAATTCCAAAGAGATTGGTCGAAAAATGTAGGAGGAGATTCCTGGACACAAAAAAGATCACGCCGGATGGACGGATGGACAACCCCATACCATAATACTTCCATCAAATTTGACAGGCGTATAAAAGTAGCGCGAACAAGAATTGCTCAAGAACAAATGGAATGACAGACAGATCACCGACACAGTGATTTAAATATGATTTGAAAATGCAGTAAACAGATTGATTTTTTTTAAGTAAGTTTTGTTTTTTTATTAGTGTTCAGTTGAATATACTGGAACAAGTCTCATATCTACATCTTTTCTGTCTGCTAGTCAGGAAATTTCCGTAGAATCCAACAATACTGTGAAATTATCTCTTTCTCGTCATATTTGTACATGTATGAAGATAATTACTGTCCTGCCTCTCAACATGAAAGAACCTTCCAGTCATATTCTCCAGGCTTTTGTGGAGGTTAATGTTCTGTCATTCTTTTTCTATGCATATCTTCGATGAGTAAACAAAGTTGCAAGGAATAATCTCTCATTCCTAAGCGAGTACGACAGAACTGTCAAGGGTAAGACAGAGGTGTAAATAATTTCTATCTTATACCCCAATTCACATGTGTGACATGGATGTCATGAAATTGGGAACATTCTGTGATGCCGTGATGCTTAGTTATGACATTTTTTGGTGGTTTTTGAGCTAATTCTGGTGACTGGAAAGAGAGAAAAATACTCTTTCATGCATGGGGGTGTAGGATAGGGAAAATTTCACTCTCAGGATTTTCAAAATAACGTAAAATCCTAAACAAGCCTCAGGTTTTATCCAATTTGAGTCTTTAACAATTTTTGTCCCAATAAAAATTAAAATATATCATTTTAATATTCCGTGCAATTGAAATACATGTATTTTAGATATTTAACATGAATTTACACGAATTGTTTCCATTTCTTTCTATGTAGGCTGTAAAATCAACTGCAATTTCTACATCCATGAAAAAAGGTATGAAGCAAAAGTGTGAACATTTCTTGATTTGTTGATAAAATAAGCCTATATTAAAATGTACAAGCTATTTCTCATATTTTACAAGCAAATCAATAAATAGCTGTGAAATAAAAAAAACAATAATTAATTTGTATGAAACTACATTTTATTCATACTACCTATCTGGTATGAATTAAAACCTGGTTCATTGCAGGAATGACATTCCAATCAATAACAAAATGTATATAATGTTTAACTATTATTCAAAAACATATAAAATTATGATTGCTGTATCTTAACAAAAAGAAAAAGTAATTTAAGTCGATAATATGCTGGTCAAAGCAAGTCAATGACATAAGATTTCCAAATTAACAGCCAGCGATCAACCCATACATTAAAAAGTTCTTACACTTGTAAAACACATTATTTTTTTTAGAAGAATGATGTCCATTCTACAATTCAACTTGATAGAAGTTTTCATTTAAAGATTTTTCTGTCTTCAGATATTCCAATTATCTTTATGAAGTGATGATGATGACAGCACTACACGTGTAGCTGTGATGATGATGATGATGATACGATGAATGTTAGATCAGTAGTTTCTCTATGCTTTGTTTGACCTTGTCGATCTGAGCCTTCATCTGGGAGCCCTCATTGACAATAACCGAGGCTGCAATGACTGGCCGTGATACTCCACAGGCTCGGCCCAGAGCTGAAAACAAAAATAAAATATTACATCAGGTATTCTGTGGTAGCTAAGGCCTGATTCAGTCTACATGTACATACGAAAATAAAAAGTCTCAAGGGCTTTAAAGATCACTGTCCCACTGAGCTGTAGTTTTTTCTTTATAAACAGTAGCCTCCACTGGGTAGCTCGATAGGATAGAATGGTAATATAATAATCTGCAGTCCGGGTTGGTATCCCAGTCAAGCCCTGCTCAATTTATCACTTAGAACAGTGTTGTTGATTTTATTTTAATTCATATTTATTATGTGATTATATTTTATGAAAGTCTCGCAAGGTATGGTTTCGTTTATCAAAACTATGTCATGCTGAAAAAAAACAATTTCCAATACTTTTGGCAGTGGTGCAGGGATCCTTAGTTACTCACCTGGCTTTTTCTTTACCCGACATTCCAAATGAACAACAAATTAATTGCACAGGTAGAGAACATACCAAAAAAAGAAATAACATTTTTATTTGAAAGTCTATATTCCTGTGATACTTCAGCCATCTTTGAGATTTAACCCTATTTGGGATTCCCCATTATGGGCTCAGTCCTTTAGTAACTTATCCTATTTGCCCGAGATGCTTCAAACTACTAACTACATTTGTATTTGTATCAAGGATGTTCTTCAAGACAACCGGTAATATTTTAAAGATACACCTAATAGCTACTATCCTATTGAGCTCCACCATCCCTATGACCAAGGACAAGGAGATCACCACTTTCATTTATACAAACATGAATCCTTTCGAAAAATGTTTGACTTTTCATATAAAAATGCTCAAAATAAATACCTTGTTTGGACTTCACAAATACATAGGGTACATTCTGGAAAGAGAAAAGAAAAATAACTATTACACATGAAGCCATATGATTACAAACCACCAGGAAAATTGTTCCTAAATCTGGAAAAAAAACTTTCTTTTTCACTCTTCATGTTATTTCATGTTTTCACTCAGCCTTTAATATATATATATCCTCTTTGCTTGCAGTTAATTTGTCTTTATATCTTGAACTAACAGTTGTATACAGATTCATCAGGAATTCCAATAACTTCAACATTTTAATTTACGTGTAATTTCATGAAAATGTCAAGAAATGCTGCTGCTAGAGTGTGAGAATAAAACATAATTTTTAGTAACAATGACCTTAACCTACGCCTGATGGATATTCTCGTTCAAAATAGCCTAGGTGTCAAAGAAAAACATAACAGTGAAGTTTTATGAAAATATGTCAAGAAATAGGGCCACAAGCTAGGGCCATGACACAGGGGGGAAAGAAAAAAAATGGACAAAAAACTACATTCTTGCAACAGGATAACATCAGTGTTCCTTTTATACATGGCATTATTTCACCCGGATATATATCTTTGTTTTTGGAACGAAAAAAAAGAAACAGGTTAATGAAGACAAAGAATGGTGTAAATCAGCCATCATGAAATTTATATATGACTACTCTTTATGTTTCTGCAAGTGTGCAATTAAAATCCTATTTAGGAAGAAGGTTTTTATGTCTGTTACTGAGAATGGCATTCCATCAATAATTCTTCTAGGAAATATATGAGTGACCTACCTTATCCTCACATAAGAGAGGAAGATGAAGCAAAATTTCCAATGGCTCTGCATCTGCTGCCATCACAATGAATTCAGCAATTCCACGATTGAGAGTTTTTGTGGCTAAAAAAAAATATAATATCTACTATGTATAGAAATACAATAAGCATGTTAAGTAAAATTGATTGGAAACATGCATGTGCCATTTAAATCTGATTCCATGTCCAGATACTTATCTGGGTTCTAGTTAGGTCAGATCAAAAAGACCCATTGAATTCCCAATATTTATACTTACCAACTCTCCCAATTTTGAATGGAGACTCCCGATTTTGGATCCTAAAATTGAGCATTTTCAACCAGTGAATTTGCTAAACTATTCCTATATTCTAACATCTAATGATTTCAGCTGAAAGAACAGCACAAAAGATGCCATTCAAAAAGTGTTGTCCACTAGGGTGTACATAAACACATTTTATTTATGCTGTTAATTCTGAGCATGCATAATCCCCCCATGGAAATTTCAAAAAGGTTACAAGTATAAATATTTCGAACTTCATTCTTTAAATTTCACGTAGTCAGTGATATTATTTGATCTTAATTTCCGTAAATGGTTCTTATGTTGGGTGATTTTTTCCTTATTTCATCCCAAAGTCTGTTTTCCAAAATCCCCTGATAGTGATAAACCTGAGTTAAGTAGAAAGGTAAAAATTATACATTATGTCATGCACTATGTCAATAAATTTAGACATCTGATCTAAGCTCGATTTTGTTGCCTCTCTTGCATCATAAAATCTTGAAATCTGAGGAAAATCTGTCCAGTATTAATTCATCAGTAATATTGTTAAGAATTTTGCATGTACTTCCAGCTCTCAATCTAGACAGAGATGTTTAAAGCCATAAACTACAAGTACATTTTGTAGAATAACAACATATTGTACACACCTTCATTGGCCCCTTTCTTGAGTTGCTTGTAATTTGAACACTGCTGTAACATGTCCAGGATTGTTTTATTAAAAACTGCATCAGCCAAGGGGTAGGCTTTAGGATTTACTTCTTCTGTTGCCTGAGTGAAGAAAAGTATATATATACGTAAAAACACTTGCCAACTCTTGGACCCTAAAATTGACCATTTTCAACCAGCAAATTTGCTAAACTATTCCCATTTTCTAAGATCTGATGATTTCATCTAGGCTGTATAAACATACAATTTATCTGTCTTTAACTCTGAGCATGTGTAATCTCCTCCATGAAAATTTCAAAAAGATCGCAAGTATATGACATCAACATATATTTGTCCCATTCTTGTGTGCAGGGATAATCCTGAAGGGGGCCATTGATCCCCTCAAAACATTAATAGACCTCTCCATGTTCCAATTTAATTTTAATTTAGCAAAGAATGACCCCTTTTAGTTTTGAAATTGACCAAAAATTGCTGAATATGATCCATTGCTCTCAAATTCCAGGATTTTCCCTGAGTGCGCACATGCAATTCTTTAAGTATTTCTGATCTGTAACAGTGTTGATTGGGTTGTATCAGTCAAACCACAGGGGCAGGCAACAGCAGTGCGAACATTGACTTGATCACTACATTAGTAGTAGTTGCGTGCTCCTGTGGTCATACCAGACAGTACTAAACCACATGTAACCCATTTGTGCTATATCCTCAGGTTACCGGTTTCTGCGCACTTAAGAAGCAACCACGAGTTCGTACTCATATCAGCAGAAAACTGATGAAATTATGGAAGACTGTCATAAACATGTATACAATCTATTAATGGAAACAAAAACTAGCAACATTAAACTGTATTTTAAAAAAATCAGAACAAACAATTTTGAAAATAAAATCTCTCGTCATATGTTTCCGTGTCTATTTTGATTTAGTTTTCGAAGAAAGATAACTTGAATACACTAAAAAGAAATTCTCTACAGTGACCTGCAAGAACAAAAGCTTCGTTTGAAATACAAAAAATATCTTTGTCAAATCAAATTTTTTAAGTTTCACATTTTAATTGATTTTTCAAGATGTTAAATTGAACGAATTCATGTAATTTTTATAAATTTATTTAGTTATAATATAGAATCTGCAGTCTTATATCGGTTTTGGTTGATGGTAAGTTATTTCTCAATTTTTTCTGTTTTAAATTGGTGAAAATTGGAAGTTCATTGCATTACAACGTTTACGTTTCATTGAAAACACTGTTTATCGATATAAGAATGTCTCCTTGGCTCTTCGGAAATGGAAAAAAATCGGCGAGGAAATGTGGCCTCATTTGCAAACGACATTTTCGTACGTATGTTAGACTACAAAAATGATTGGTTCATGAATGAAATATATCACCGTTTTTTCAGGTATGGGTTCATTTTGAGCAAGATAAAAAGTGCACTAAGCAAAACTGCATATTTATGCGTGTTTTTAATCAGTGATTAATTCTATGTTTTCCGGACGAACTTCTGGTAATATTTGTGTCAGTTTACAGACGATGGCAAAACGTCTAAAATACCATTGTGTTATGTCCAGCAGGTCCCGTAGTTAAGAGATATAGTTTGAACAATGGCTGCGCGAAAATACATAACGCGCGGAAACTGATGACTAGACGATATATTACTGGCACCTCATGTGTTATATACATCATTATGTGCTGGATATGTCCTATGAACTTATATATGTCTTAACATTTGTGTATAAGTTATATGATGTAGGGAACATTCGGGGTGGGAGCGCATCATTACCATTATCATTACGCTTCTTCATGCCACGCCGCCGATCGTAATAATGATATATTCCTCATAGTCATAACTCGATCCTTTTTTTCAAATATCGAGCTGAAATTTGGAATATATATCAATAAAAGTCTAACTCATAACATATCTTCCTCTGTCGCTTACTTTAGCGAGTAATTTTAACGATATTATCTGGCAACGTTTTCTACACTTTACATGCGAATACACACATGTGCCACGCCGCGATCGTAAAAATTCAATTCATCATAACTCGGTCATTTTATCAAAGTTTCCTGTTACAAAATAAAAGTTAATCTTACCATTTCTGTTGCTGTTTATATTTTCAAAGTAGTATGGATAGATGAGTTGTGATGTTTGTTCCTCTCGGCTTATCGCTTCACGGAGGACTATAAACAAGAAAACGTTTGTAACACGTGCGCTGCTGGAGTCTCGTTTTGGAACGGAACAGGAAGTGTCCATGGTATTTATATATTCCGTAACATTAAAACAACGAAATAAATATTGTGATTTTATGGTAAACGGCTAAAGTTTAAACATTTGATAAATAATTTCAAAACTAACATGTACATTATTATAAAGACAGAAAACTGAACGGTAAAATTAATTGATACAATACTCAATTGTATTTCGTTTCGTATAACTCTTCTTTATATCAACCCTATGTTAGACTAGTTGAACCAGACGAAAGCAGACGACATAAACAAAGCAAACAAATTGAAAAATGGAAGCTGAAGATCAAGTTGTTGAAGAAGTTTTGGATAATGAAGACGATGACGTATGCATTATTCTGAAAATGACCTTTTTTAATTTATAAATGTTAAATATTGTTTAGAGACCTATCTGCAGTCGGGACTGGAATCTTAACACTACTGCACTGTTGTTAAAATACTTACCTGTCTTCATTAAAATAACTGCGAAATGTGATTTGATAAACTGTGAAGAACACAGACGGTTTACCAAGGAACTATTTTCATTTTCAATGAGCTAATCCTATTTTCTTAAATTCTTCACTTGAGCAAGGCTAGATAGTAGATCTATATATTATATATATATGTCCGTATTTAATCATTATATTTAGAGACAGATTAAATAATTTTGCCTGATTCAGCTAAATGTATTGTAAAGATCCATCACGGAATTAGATTATTTAAGTCGTGGATCTATCTATTATCAAATATACGAATTGATGTTAACGTCTTCATTTTAAGTTTTTCGTGAGATAAACTTCATAATTTCAAAAATACTAATAGTTTGAGACTTTTATTAGATTTCGAAGCTACATTCTTGAAATAAATCACACATTATGATACTTTAAAATGTGTTTTTGGTTTTTCAGGAATCCTTATTTCAAGACATTGATATGCTTCAAAATCATGGAATTGTAAGATTTTTCTTCTATATTAAATACAAATGTAAAACCCTTAAATGGTTTCTACCAGAGATCTTTATATTTAATGCATTTTGTAATTTGTAATAGTTTACTAGCAGTGGCAAATCCAGAGTTTTTTGGGGGATTCAGGAACCCCCCTGGCCTAAGAATTTTCTTTAAAAATCATGTATTTTCACCATTTTCCTCCACATGGAAACCCCTACTGGAAAATCATACTTTGCATGTATTTTCACTATTTTCCTCCTCATGGAAACCCCCACTGGAAATGTGGACAACCACCCAGTATATATAGTATATATTTACAAAATTGAAGATGGATTTTTTCTATAATATTTGTGTTTTTAAAACCCCATATTTCTGATGAATACAGAAGAACTGGCATGATTAATGAATCAAATATCTTCAATTGTAGATCAACTGGTAAAGATATGTTTCTCAATTTCTTATAGACAGCAAACACTGATTTCTGTGCTTGTTCAACATTTTTTTCATTGCTTTAAAGAAGCTACAACTAAAATTAAAGAATAATCCTAGATAGGTATACCCTTCCAGTATTTCTAATTCTACGTTACATAATGAAAAATGGTGAGTTCTTGCATATTTTCTTTTTGAAAAGATGACAATTTTAGTTTTTCCTGAATTGATAGTTAACTTCCAAGTATTACAGTATTGTTCAAATTCATTTAAAGCTAACTGTAAACCATCTGGTGTTTCTGAAAACAGGACAGTATCATCGGCATATAAGATAATGAATAGTTTGAGATACACTCCAATGTTATCAATACATAATTTGTCTATTGTTTGAAGACAATTTACATTTTTTTCAACAAGATAAGTTTCTAAATCATTTAAAGAAGTTCCATTTTTTTTTCTCAAAAAAAAATACTTCAAAAGAAATTTTCAAAGTTTGCCTCTCCCCTCCATCCACAAGCAGGTTTTAAAACAACAATGCTCTCTTAACATACAGGTATTGAGAATCAACTGTTTGGAAAAAAACATAACAAAATCATACCTTTGCAATAAAAATTGTTCAGTAAACTGTTTGGTCATGTTAAATCATCATATGACTTCCATGGTGTTCCATTACAACCCAATCACAGCATAATTCATGGGCCTTATTATTTCTTATGTCAAAAGCTAATCACCTGTTATAGACCTTGAGACTTGGAATTTGTCATACTGAAAATAAGATATTCATGGTATACTATTGCTTTTCTTATGCCTTCTGTCCTGGTCAGATAACAAGTTTAATAAAGATAATACAAGTTTAAAATTTTACAATAAGAACTGAAGATTCTTTTAAATTAATTCATATAAATAAAATAATTGTATCCTTAAGATTATTTGTTATAAATTCTTCAATTGATGGACATATGCTAAATCAACTCACTATTAAGAAATTAAAATTATTGTCATATAAGAAAGTTATACAAAGTAACATTTATGAAAGTTCTTACATGTTTTTTAATATTGTAGAATGTTGCAGACATTAAAAAGTTGAAGCAGGCAGGAATATGTACAATCAAAGTAAGGCTTCAATACAAATTTCAACAGTGCATGTTATGCTCCAAAGAATATTGAATGTTATATTAATGTTGATCATATTTAAATGTCAAATGTAATTTTGTAATGCAAGTGATTTAATACAGTCATTAATAAATAAATAATTACAGTGAATAGCAGTAATAAAACCAGTGACTACTGTAATTATTCTTTGGTTTAGTTTGTATTTTATTGTTGCAGGGAATTCAAATGACAACAAAGAAGAGGCTTTGTAATATCAAAGGAATATCTGAGGCGAAAATGGAGAAGATAAAAGAAGCATCAGGAAAACTTAGTGTTTGTAATACAAGGATCTTTCAAATTATCTGTAACTGATGGTGTGGATGGATGGTTCATGTAGTGGGTAGGGATGGGAAGGGATGTATCAATATAACTACATGTTGTATACATTATACAATGTACATGTATCTGTAACTATATGATTGACTCAACCCAAAGTTAAATAGTTGTCCTTTAATCAGTTTGAAGCTCAGAGTCACCCTACTGCATTGTATGTATACAGCTAACTACAATTTTAAGTCATACCTAAATTCATTGTACATACCCGTTATCTATACACTTCTGCGATGAACGACAACAATGGTTTCGATGCGTTAAGAGCAGGAATCAGTTCACCATTACAGGAACCAACATTGTTTGGCAGAAGAACCACCAAATGTCAGGGTTTTTTTTTATCTAATTAACAAAATGATAAAAAAAACCTCTATACATATATCAGGTTGTGCATAGAATACACATTGGTATTTTCAGTTTTTGTGTACATTTCGTCAGTCCCTAAACGTTCTCGAATTTTAACATTATGGGCCAAACATTTATATCATGACAAAATTGATATTCTCTAAAATCGGAATCCGACATTCAATCTTTTCTAATATTATTGGAGATGTTCTACTTTTTTCTTTGATTTTGCGATAGCAATAATAAAAATGGTAATTTCTATATGCACGTTATATCAACCCTCACCAATATCAGCCCTCAAACTAAAGCTCTCAGGATACTATGAGGATGTACGTGTACATACATCACCATGTCTAAACGTCTAAAGAGGGGTTAATCTCGCCCCTATTTAGATATCATATGTCGAGTTTACACTTTTTAAGTACATTAAATCAAATGTCTGGTAACTCCTTTATTATATGTTCTATTAGCTCGAAAATAAAATATAGATTTGCAATATGACACTTATCTCTGTTAATCTATTCATTTTTCCAAGAAAATTATGTTGGCAAAATTATCGATATTGCGCCGATAATTGGCAATAGCGTCGTGTTATTGATAACTTGGGAATAAATAAAGGATATAACATAAGTTTCTATTTGGAAGAGCTTTATGAAACGAGTTTAAGATTTGTTCACGAGCCGTGAATACACTTTACTGTCTTAAACATATTGATGAGAGTTTCCCTCACAGGATTGATTTGTATGATTTTCCTACCCATGGTTTGTTATCATCACACTATTGTCATTACAGCGTGGTATGTATAAAATAGTAAAAATGTATTGTTCATGCTTAGTATGAAGATGATTTCCCCCCAGGCATTCATAGCTGATCGAGGTGAACATGAAATGTTGAGGGTAAACACATTCTCATGTCAAGGCAAATCGTTTCATTAGTGTTGCCGAGATTGTAAAAATATTTGCGAAAACATCGTTATATATGTTTGAGTCATTGTGTGTCGCATGCACAACACGACATATAATAAACGTACGACGTAACTTTTTTCATATCCCCCAAAAAAACGTTTTACCTAGGTTACCTAGCGTAAGATCGAAATCAAGAGTCGTTTTACCTAGGCTACCTATAGCGTAAGATCGAAATCAAGATTCGTTTTACCTAGGCTACCTAGCGTAAGATCGAAATCAAGATTCGTTTTACCGTCCTAAAATAATATTATAACTGAAACAAGTTGTTAAAAATGATCGTAGGTATGACATATATTCATGTTATATACATGTATCCATGTGCAGCCATTGAAATGTTCCTTTCCATCATATTTCTACACACGGGGTTTTCAAGTCACTAGGTGCTTAAATTCACTTCAAATCATCGAGTCGTTTCCGCTGTCTAAAAAATGAGTGTTGGACAGTCCTCCCTAAATTTTCTTATACAAAGTCAGTTATTGCGTAAATCGTTTTCCCTTACATAGGACATTGCATAAAGGGAGATAATCCCTACAGAGTAAGGGGGTTATATCCATTCGAGCGTGCGTCCAATAACACTTTGTCCGCACCTTATATCGTCTCAATGGCTGAACCTTTCTTTATGATGAACACAAATATTTGTTTAGCACGATCAGAAGTGTGTGTTATGTAACACTGTCAGCTCCACATAGAGAACTACTGAGCTGAACCCATAGACTTTGGGAGATGTTTAAAGCACAAGTCTTTCAATTCGACCCAAGCATATTGTTAGCACTAAAATGAGGTTGAAATCTGCCCAGTAATTTAGGAGAGGTCGTTTAAAGCAAATAAATCAATTGCATCCCGTTTATCCTGTCCCTAAGCCTATATAGATGTGTCTGCCCTTTTAATATTTGTTCAATTTTTTTGATCCCCAACGAGTTATAAATCTAGACAAAATCCAATTGAACCTGTTGGCATTTTTATTCCGGATGCTACAGACTAAGGGGGTGCCGTATAACACGTTTCCTCACGATCACACCAATATACCCTTTGACACACAGGTGGATACACTTATATTGATATGATGTGTCTATACTATATAATAATATTAATGCCTATTGTGCATATCATATTACTATTAGTGTGTCCAGCATCTGTGTTTTGACATAGCGGAAATTAACAGACCTGGTCGAAGCATGCATCCTTAGCAGATTGATACAAAGTTATGCAAATAAAGGAACTTAAATTCTAAGCGGATACATTTCCAAATTACTGGTAATTTCCAAAAAATAAACAAGTGAGAGATTCCAGGCCCTTTGGTCCCTTGTTTGTAAATGTATACGTTACTATTTGATTGTTTTTAAACTCAAAATTTATATTTCTTGATCTATTGTATGCTTGTGTGTAAATATAGAAGAAAATGTATAGTCTGTTGCAGCATCATTTCATAAAGAAATGGTTTGTCAGGAATTCGAGTTAAGCTAGGGTCTCTAGAATATATATTTCTGTGAATTCAGCCTAGTCTCTGCCATGAATTTTGAGAAAGTATGCGGGAATTCATGTGAAATTACGTGACAAGGAAATTTGGTACAGATATGACTTGCATAGTCTAAGTGTGACTGCTGCCTTATATTTTGAATTAAAATTAAAAAATGAAAATAAAAATAAACCAATCGAACTTTCACCATCTCTAATAGAGCCTGAGGATAATCTGCATGTTAATAAAGCTTTTTGATGAATGAATATCAATCTGAGCAGATAATAATGAAAATATCAACCTTTTTTTCAGGATGCTGGATTTCTGACAGCACTCGAGTATGCCGACAAAAGAAAACAGGTCTTCAGAATTTCAACAGGCAGTCAAGAATTTGAGTAAATACATGTCATTATTGAATCCTTCATAAATGTTACTATCATTTAGAAAAGAAAATGTCACCAGCTGAAAACATTGAAAGTAGAGCAAATTGATACAGGGTATGAACAAAGGAAAATAGCATGGATATACACGGTAGTTACAAGTAAACGACAAGGCACAAGGACGAACATATATATAGCATCGACCTTTATACCGCACAAGAAACGAAATAATCATGATGGCGACGATACACTTGCCCATTGCTTTAATCAAACTGATTCTCTCGAAACGTGCTGTAAACCCTAACCAGAATTTAATACTACGTCCACAATTATTAAAGTTTTTGGTGAAAAAACATTGCTTCAGGATACTGCTTTATGAAGCAATGATTCGTGAGGGAAAAGTCTATTCAACATGCCAGACTTTGTGACAAGTATGGTGGGTAATGTGTTTATCTCTGTTAACGACAAAATTGTCTAGATCATAGCACCTTAACTGATAAAAAAAAATGCCATACACATATGACATGCAGACCCTCAGGCTCCAACTATTAATGGCTGCGAGTGAAGACAAATGTGCATTATGTTTATGTTAAAATATCAACTCCATCAACAACGTTTCTGAAAACATTCGTATCTTAGTGATATTAAATAAAATTAGAATGTCTTGGAAATTATACTATTAGCCCCCACTATGGTTTATGTGCGAGAATCTTTTCACATATATATTATAAATACTTTTCGAATTTCATTTTGTTACATATAATAGCAAACTTGTTGGTGGTGGAATGGAGAGTATGGCCATAACAGAAGCTTTTGGTGAATTTCGCACAGGAAAAACACAGCTATCGCATACGTTATGTGGTAAGTGTACGTAGAGTGGGAAAAAAAGTAAAATTATCTACTTAAAAATTGAAACAAAATGGTTTGTTGTCTGTGAAAACACATACCGTTCATATTTTACGTAAACTTCAGGAACATTAAAATATACATTAAACCATCGTTCACAAAGTACTGAAAATTTGTCAATTTAAATATTTTCTGCGCATGTCCTTTTCAGTTACAACTCAGCTGCATGGTGACAATGGCTATACCGGTGGAAAAGTGATGTTTATAGATACAGAAAACACATTGTATCCTTTCCACATATTATTACAAACAAAATTGCCGTGTACAAACCAAAGTTAAGTTGCAACTGTTTTATTTTGTTCATACAAGTTATTTAGACTCGAAAGACAATGTACTATTAATTATTATAAAGAGCTAACATAATTGTGTGTCTACAATAGTGGTGTTACTTTCTGAATGATTGAAAAAGTTAGTTCAAATATATAATAAAAAAGTTGAATTATGCTTCCTTCATTATATTAAGTCGTCCAGATAGACTGCGAGCAATTGCAGATCGATTCAACTTGGATCAAAGTGCAGTTTTAGATAATGTTCTGTACGCAAGAGCATACACAAGTAAGTGAAAATTCCAATAATGTTGATATGAATGGAAAAGCTTCAAACGATAAATGTGTGTCAAAAAATACATGTCATAAGGGTTTTAAAATGAATATTATAAATAAAATTACTGTTTTCAAGAAAGTAACCAGATGTAAATTAATAAAAAAAGAAAAGTATAAGAACGTGTTTCAGGCTCCTCAATATAAATTGATATGTACGCGAAATTAATTTCGTAGATTTCGACACAGACATGCAAAGTTTTTAAAAAATAATGTACACATGGCATGACGCAATACAACCACAGATCTTAATTGTCCAGTTTTTAGCTCACCTGGCCCGAAGGGCCAAGTGAGCTTATACCGTGGCGCGGCATCCGTCGTCCGGTGTCAATATTTTACTTTAAACAATTTCTTCTTAATAACCAAAATGCACAGGGTGATGATATTTGGCCAGTAGCATGCTTTGATGAGGGGCTACCAAGTTTGTTCAAATGAATGACCTTCACTCATTTTCAAGGTCACAGGGGTCATTTGTCTTAGAAAAATTTTAAACAACTTCTGAATAAAATCAAAAGGACCAGGATGTCGATATTTAGTCAGTAGCATGCTGGGATGAAGGGCTACTAAGTTTGTTCAAGCAAATAACCTTGACTTATAATCAAGGTTACAGGGGTCAAATATGTTAAACTCTTTAACTGACTTTGATGAATGACCAAAAGGCCCGGAATGATGATATCTGGCCAGTAGCATGCTTTTATAAGGGGCTACCAAGTTTGTTTAAACGAATGACCTTGACTTATATTCAAGTTCACAGGGGTCAAATATGTTCAAAATCATTAAACGAATTCTTTTGAAACCAAGAGGCACAGGATAATGATATATGTGGCCAGTAGCATGCTAGGATGAGGGGCTACCAAGTTTATTCAATTAGTAGGTGTGAGATATGTTTAAAACTTTTAAACAACTTCTTCTCAATAACCAAAAGGCCTAGGATGTTGAATAGCTTGTTAATAAATAGCATGCTGGGATGAAGGGCTACAAAGTTTGTTCAAACAAATGAGCTTCGCCCATTTTCAAGGTCATAGGGGTCAAATATGTTTAAAGCCTTATACATGTATCAACTTATTCTGAATAACCAAAAGGTCCAATGTAATGATATTTGGCCAGAAGCATGCTTGGATGGAAGGCTTGAGACTGTTCAACTTATTAATGTCCTTGTTTCGGATGACTTTGTGTCAAGACACTATATTTTTCCTGTAGCTTTATTTTCGTCTTCTTTTAAGGTTACAATTGTGAGATTAATACTAGGAGAGCGATGCAGGCCCATTGGGCTTCTTATTTTTTGAAGAATCGAGATGGCATTTCTAAGATAAATGTACGGGATTTTTGTGGGTTTTTTTGTGATGCTTTAGAAGCTAAATGGAAACTAAAATTTATTGACCAGAATAATAGTATAATGTAATAATGCAGTAATATTATGGTGGGTTTTTTTTCTAATAAATAATTTCCTCTTTTTTTGTCACTTTAGGTGAGCACCAATTTGAACTGCTAGACTTTGTGGCTGCCAAGTTTTATGAGGAACCAGGTGTCTTCAAACTGCTGGTAATATTGTTTTATACAATATAAAAAAAAAATATAAATAAAAACATAAAATAATTTGAAGAAAGAGGAATCTGAAAATTACTTATGTCATCTGAACATCTATTTGATATACATTGTAATCTTCAACTAATATTTGAGTTTTTAGCTCACATGATTGCTCAAGTGAGCGATAGCTATCCGACTTTGTGCGTCGTCTGTGAACAATGCACTTAGTACATTAACTTCAATTCCACTGAACCGATTTTGATAAAACTGAATTGTTGTATAGTTCTGACTACATGAAAGTTGTTATATTTTCTAATGTTTTCTAATTAAATATGACCGCTTTGACAGACAAGTTGAAAAATCTATGTAAGTTTAATTTAAAGTCTACTTGGTAGAAATGATCAGTGCATGATCCTGACCAAGTGTTAATATTTTTCGAGTCTATTCGAAATTCAATATGGTCGCCATCTTAAAAAATGTGGGTTTTTTTAAACACGGAAATGGCCAATGCAATTATCCCAAAAAAGTATTTGATAGTTTGGATATATTTGAATATTATACACTTTGGCTGAAGGGTCATTTTGACTTAAGTATAAAGGTAATGAGGTCATAGATATATCAGGCTACTAATGCTGTTAATTATCCCAAAGTTTGCAGGATTTATTTATCAAATGTACATAAGAATCCATTTGACCAGGGTAATGAGGACAAAGGTCAAGGTTGCGGCTACTTTACTTGCAGATAAGGCTAGGGACTTTTTGTATACACATTAACAATAGTGTATTGCAGGCGTTGATTCAAAAAACACGTTGACGTTTGTGTCAAGGTCACGAAATTGAAGGTCAAGGATATTTTCATGTCGGACTACATAAATTAGTAACTTCAAACCAGTAAACTTTTGTTTACATATATACTTTGAAATATTGTAGGCATTGATGCAAGGATCATTTAGACTAATACAACTATTTGAATTACTATCTCCAGAACTGCAGACTCGCATGATTGCCTAGTTGAGCTATATCCATCCTTTTCCGTCCGCCGTCGTGCGTAAACAAATTTACAATTTCGATTTATTATTGTTAGGACCACTGAACCGATTCCTTATCTTGCCCCGATCAAGTGTTGTTATTTTTCGTGATGATTTGGTAATCCAAGATAGTTGCTGTGTTAGGGACTACTCTTCGCTCGAATTGGCAGACATTTTCGACTTCGCAGGAACCGCTGTTCCAAATGAACTTGTTTCTCCACCAACTGCTGTTACTTTTTGTGTCGAATTCGAAAATCCTCGATGGCCGCACTGCCCAAAACATGCTATAGCTATTGATTTTATCAAATTATTCCTCAGGAGGTCAAAAACGATTTTTTCGCTTCGGCCTCTGACAGGCTGAGGCATTTTCGACTACTACTCAAGAAAGGATTACTTGAAAAACATGGTACAAATGTTAGGTATGAGGTCCTCAATAATAGTGGTTACTTTTTGTGCCGAAACTTCTTTCGACTTTTTTACAGAATGACTGCCCTTATTGACAACAAACTTGTGTAGTGTTCACAGCAAGCGTGGTTACTTTTTGTGCCGATCCGGAAATTGATGAAAGCTGCCCTTGCCTGTGATTGGCAGAGATATTTCCGACTCTTTCTCAGGAATCGCTAGGCTATATAACTCAATACAAATGTTATGAGGTCTCCAACAAGTATCTTACTTTTCTCGCCAATCCAAAAATTCCACCCCATCATTTGATTTGCTGAGCAATTACTCTCAAGAACATGCACTTATTGATTCTAAAGTAGGGGGAAGTTAAGTTCCTTAACAGGTCCCCTGCAAGTATTGTAACTTGTCATGCCGAGCCGAAAATCCAAGACAGCAACCGTGACCTCTGATTAGTTTAAACATTTTCTATTTGAACTCCTTTGAGCGTTTAAACCACTTTTGCTCCTTGTGTGTCATGAAAAACTCCTACTGTGTCGCTTTCTGGCTATTGGCTTTTTTTCTCGTGATAATTAGTGCTCAACCTGAAGCGTGAATATCTTTAATAGTCAATAAACAATTGGAGACATACATCTTAGAATTCATAGTATTTTGATCGCTTGCTTATGGTATGCGTATACATTGTGTTTTATGCTTTAGCAATGTACAGTACAGCTTAAGTAGTTATGTGTTTTTTGTTTTTCTAGATTATTGACTCCATAATGGCCCTCTTTAGAGTGGATTTCAGCGGCAGAGGAGAGCTTGCAGATAGGCAACAAAAACTAGCTCAAATGTTGTCAAGGCTACAGAAAATATCTGAAGGTAATTACAGGCATGTATGATTATGAAAGTGATAAATCCTCAAATACGAGTTTATATCTACGTGGTATACACTCATGTATACTTTTAAAGAATGACCGGTATTAGTGACCTTATGTTTTATATCTTCAATGTGCTACTTCTTTTTTTCTAAGTGTTATCCTATTTTTTGTCTAATCAGATTAAATTAAATTACATGTATTATGAATTGACATTCAACCGTGTGCATATGATTAAATAATTTCAAAGTGGAATATGTGTTGGATAAAGAAATTGCTTAACACCTTAAACAAGCACTTAGATATACATCTTCACTAATCTCGACCCGATATGAATGACACTAAAAAATGGTAACATAAATTGGCTCTGAATTGTCATAATATTCATCCTTAAACTGTAAACGTCTCTCACCCTGGTAAAATACTAGCCGCTTCCTACCGTCTCGGCTAGAGTGAATTTCTCTTGAGCTCATTCGGTAGAGCATAAGACTAGTAAGCCAGAGGTCCCGGGTTCGACTCCTTGCGGAGGCATTGAAAAAATAATGATCTCTGTTACATTGGCGCCCACGTAGGGACCCAGAAGATTTGACAAAAATACTCAGCGATACTTGCAAAGGGATCGCTATGACCCCTGGACAACTCGGGACGAGTTCTTTCCTGGAGGGGTAGTATGTCACCCTGGTAAAATACTAGCCGCTTCTTATCGTTTCGGCTAGAGAGAATTTATGGTAGAGCGTAAGACTAGTAAGCCAGAAGTCCCGGGTTCGACTCCTAGCGAAGGCATTGAAATAATGCCCTCTGTTACACGTCATTTTTCGCGATCCTTAATTTTTGACTGATTGATTTGCTTAAATGTTCCATTTTCAGGGAGTTTAAGTTCGCGTATTTCAGGTCTAGTCGTCGTGGAACATGAGGATAGATTCATTTGCTATTTTGCAAGATGTTTTTTTGTGGAAAATGTTAAACACGAAAATTACAAACCTGCAAAACATGCTGTTCAGCACTGCGGACGTTTATACGGAATAGAACAAATGATAATATATAATTTTGTTCCAATAAAATACAGTCGAACCTCGATAATCAAGCGAACACTAATCCAGTTTTCCGACATTTCAGCCATTGATTATGGGATATATTGGCTTTTCGATGTAATATTGTCTTAGTCACACTTAAGCCACTTTTTTCTGGAATTTAGGTGCTGAATTACTGAAGCTTCACTTTTAGTCTTATAAATTATTTTTTTATGGTTTTTATTATGTGTGTTTTTGAAAGTTATAAATACATGGTAATTCAAAAAATTTCAGAGTACAATGTTGCAGTATTTGTAACAAATCAGATGACAGCTGATCCAGGAGCAACAATGTCGTAAGTATACTTATCAGGTTATTTAAAAGATTCATGTGATACACTTCTATTAAAAATGTATTTAAAATACAGGTTTCCAAACCTTTATTCTTACTGCTAAATTGTTGGTTTCAAAATGTTCATCCTTATGTTGGTATAAAGTAGAATACTGTTGAATTTCAATCAACCACAGGAATATATAGCTACAGACGCTTCAGATATCATACACGGAAATGGTCCATTTCGATTTTTGTTTAAAAGATCCAGTCCTTTACCAAAAGTGTGAATTCAAAGAGCTATTAAGAGCTATTCACATATACCGTAACTTATGTATCGGGCTATGAGAAGATGTCATTAAAGTTCTTATATTCTAGCTGTGTCTTGATAAAAAATATTGATTGACTTTTAAACAACGCGTGGAATTTATTCCTACCATGATACATATGTTAATGTTGAAATATTTTACATGATGTTATATTCCCAAAGTTTCCAAGCTGACCCTAAGAAGCCTATTGGGGGAAACATATTGGCTCATGCCTCTACAACAAGACTTAGTCTTCGTAAAGGAAGAGGAGAAAACAGAATAGCAAAGATATATGATAGGTATTTATTTAAAACAATTATTTATCCTGATTGAAAAAATTGAGAAAAAATGATTAGTATATCAAAGGGACACTTCAATAATTTCGTTAAATATCCACATTGATTTCGTTAAAATAGTACCGACATAGTAACTGTTAGATCATTTTAAATATTATTTTCAGACACTCGACATTTATCAGAAGATGTATCGAATTCAAAGAAATTAGACAGATTGTGTAAATAACTTTCCTTTTTTTCTTTATTTGAAGCCCTGATCTGCCTGAAAATGAAGCCACGTATGCTATAACAGCAGGCGGTATTGCTGATGCAAAGGAATGATCAAAGTGAAATATTCACCTGAACAACTAGAACGGACTTGGACACTTTGACCAATACATGTAACAATAATAACAACAACAAAAAATACATAAACAACAAAAAAACAATGAAGCTCAGGATGAATATTTGTATTTTGTTCTTGGTTTGTTATACAATCATGTTAATATTGAAATATGTTTTATCCCTAATTATGATTCGAATATTAAAAATATATTCAAAATCATTTAAAGTCGTTTACTTTCTAATTTAGCTTTTTCATTCCGGTTCTAAATAAATAATCTAAAATTGTTTCACAATATTGAATGATATTTTGGTAGTGTTACAAACGCAAATTACATCACCGCATTTATGAAATATCTGAATGCCCCTCGTTTGTGCTTGCAAGTATTCTGAAGCAGAAATTCTGAAGGGCCATAACTCCAAAAACAATTGTCATATCGCAAATTCCTTCCTTCATACACATCCTAGCAAAAAAAAGCATACACTGATAACAAAGAAACGGTGATAAAATCATTCTTCAATAACCATAAAAGTTTTTACTAGAAATCAGATGTGTATGGAAACACCTATTTAAAAAATTAATGTATCGATGCAGAAAGCCAAACCAAGTAAACCTGTTTCTTCGCCCATATGACCACTTCGTCTATTTAAGACTCATTTTACAAACATACTCAAATGCATGAAAATGTGCATGTAAAACTCCTTTAACAAGAATATCTATAAAACGAATCTGAAAGTGCTACAAAAAAAAACATCGGGGTAACTTTCGTATTATTTTTTGAAATGGAAACTAACTCCTTAAGAACCTTATAAAATAAGAAGAAAGCATTCGAATCTTCTCGATCAACATGCTTCCTCCCACTATCCTCGAGTCTTCTCTACACAATGTTGATATTTTTCTTAATAGTGTTGTCTTCAAAGCTATGCCACAAAGTCATAACGTTATGTCTTAACTTTGACGTCACATTATGTGATAGTACATGAGGAAATACAATGGTAATCATGTAGTAAATCCATTATCAATTATTTCTTAAAAAAAATAGATATTTCAAGCGCAATCAGTAAACAGATGTATGTATCGTCATGTTCATGATGTTGCTTCGTGTTTTTCATAAAGTTCTGTGATACGAGACTTGAAAAATTTTCGTAAGTTTGGTCTTTTGTTTTTGAAAGTTGGCGTGAGTAAGTTGTTGTCCATTGAAAATGGTTCCGGATGAAGATGGATGTCTTTTACCTGTAGGGGAAAATCAAGTAAGGTTCAAGGTAAAATGTTTGCTAATACTTAAACTATTTCGACGGAACAGCTTAAAACTCGAACATACATGTGCATCGGTGTCTATAGGTTGCTGAATCTAAAAAGGACATGTGGATTGTACTTGTTGTACTTGGTATTATATGTTTTATATAAACAGAAAGTATAAAGGTCGAAATTTTCGCTTCGACATGTTTGTTTATTTAGTAAATAATATGTGATACAATGCCGAAATCATTTAAAATTAAAATAATAAAAACAACGTACCTGCTCAAAAGTTTTCAGGCCCATGGCTTTACCGACATTGATGATATCCTGTTGTATCAAATCTTTCAGTTTCTGTAACAAAAATGGTTTTCTGTACTTTGAATATACATTCATGTACCTTGTGTACATGCATCCTATTTTAATTTGGCTTATTTCGTTTTCACTATTAATTTGGCGATATGATGCTTTAATTTAAAAAATTGTCAATATATAAGCATTTAATATGACAACCGACACTCGCCACTTATTATCGAAATTTACTTACTCTATTTTCTGTAAATGTACAAACCTGACAAGTGCAAAGTTCATCCATGCTTGTAGGTAGGCCCTCTTTTTCCGCCCAGCGTGGAACAACTTCTATATCTGGTACCATAACACCCATCAGGTATGGCTATAAATATATTATACATATGCCAGTTCGTATTTTTTTCTGTTGTGTCCAGTGGATGAATATTAAACAAAAGTCAACGTAAAATCATCTAAACATAAAAATAGCCCATTGTTAAAGAATATAATGCGATTCTTTCTAAATAGTAAATATATTTTATAAAACTATTCGAACAACCCAATTTTTGTATTTTTACTTTATGATCCTGCTGATGACATTTCTTCTAAAATCCTCAAAATTACTAAAACGTTTGAAAACAGAAAACCAATAAAGCAAATGGTGATATTGCTGCAAGTAGGGGAAAGTCAGTGAAATTATATATGAAATATTAAGTTTGAAGATTTTTATACGATTAATCTTGGAATTGAAAAACAAATATCGCCGAATAGAATAAATTATGAAATAGTTAAAACATAGAGTTCAATGTTGTTGGTTTTTTTATTTACAAAAACGAGAAATCAACAGTGGTTTTGCAGTTGCGGAGTTGATAGTGTTGCATTCATACTGTAGCAGGAATTGATAAACAAGCCTTTACTTTCATTTTATGATAGCGCTCTACTACGAAGAAGAGTTATATTTTTCAGCATTTGTTTTGTTTATTATACCAAAGAATCATTGTTAGAAATTTATCTTTTTTTGTGTATATTTCCTGTTTAACAAAAATATTCTTAACTTAAAGCAGGGATCATTGCATTTCCGGTCATGATATTCATTACAGTAATACTTTTTTGCAACATTACTGGGAATAATTGGCCCGTAACCTACTATTGATTCTGTATTATTGCTTTCAATGCCTGCAACACTAAACAATGACTGGACTAAATATACCATTATGTTATTAGTGAGATTCAATTCGCGTAACATAACAAATTCATTTGTCATTGAAATATTTTAAAAATCACATACTCTCTTAATGTTCACATTATCTCTTCACACCTCTTATTTCAAATTCCAAAATTCATTTGTTTAGAATGGCGAGATGCGAAAAAGGGTTATGATTAATATGTTGGGGTTAAAAGTAGATACAAATTCATAATATTTTGAAAATCTGTCATATATGAATCACCGGTAACTGTATTTGTTTGGTATATTTTACTATATGATGTATTTCAGAAGTTTCTGCATGTGTAAATATTTTAACATTGTACGTGAAATGAATAACAATTAAAAAACACAAAATACAATGAATAACTAAGATACCACTATAGTATACGAAGGAAACTTGACAAGAAATTTATTGATACTCACTTTCAAACTATCTCCTTCAACAAAGGCCTGTGCGACATATTCGCTTCTCATATATACATTTTCAATCTTCTCTGCTGCCACATATTCCCCCTAAAATATATAACGCGTTTTATATGTAATGTTCAAATATTATCAAGCACGGCAAATATAACGCATTTAAGTAACAACAACAAAATTTTCCAAACTAATGGCCGCTTCTTTGAAGTTCACTTGTGGTTCGGCAATGCAATTGTCTATATCATTGATTTAACATTAAATAATATTACAGATCCGAAAAGTCAAAGGTTGGTATCTAAATCGTACCTGTGCAAGTTTGAATATGTTTTTCTTTCTGTCGATGATTCGTAAAGCTCCGTTCTGTAGAGGAAACAATAGAACAATTAGGAAAATACCTTAATTTAACATAGACTTATTTAAGGCTCGGCTAGTTTGAACGCATTCTAAATCTAAATTACTTTGCCATTTTTCAATATTGTTTCATCAAAAAATCATCTTCATTTATATTTGATACATAAAGTCCGTCTGAAAAAGGCAGAAAGGCCTAGCGGTAGATCTTGCATATTTATTATTTTATTCTTTATTTTACTTCGCAAGAATTTGTTTATTTATTATTTACTATATATATATATCTAGGGCGGCGTTTGTTTGATCACAGCTTTGACTCACAGGTAGCCATTCTCCTATGTCTCCTGTGTGGAGCCACCCGTCCTTGTCTTTTGTTTCCGACGTTTTCTCTGGGTTTTTGTAGTAACCAACAAACACATTGTCTCCTTTCGCACAAATCTAGAAATGAATACGTAGAAATACATAATGATTATTGCTAAAAAGTGAAGAAATGGTACATTACACCGATAGCATTTATTCAAGTATTTTTCTATTTAGAATTTAGTTGATGGCAATTCATGCATACAATTTGCAGTTCATATTTTCATTGTACTTTAAACTTACTTCTCCTTTTCCATCCGAGGCGTAATAGTCCATCTCCGGAACATCCACAACTTTGACAAAGTTACAGGGCAATGGACATCCAACATGGCCTGGAATACAAAAGTTGTTCTTAGACTATAAACTTTTTAATTATTCCCAATTTGTTTTTTCCATGAAAGAGGATGTAATTATCCAAATAACTTCAATACGAAGACAAACTCACCTGATTCAATCTCTCCTGGTACGTTAAATGTAATTCCAGCTGCTGCCTCCGTCTGCCCATATCCCTCTAACACCTTAAACACAGATTTAACACTAATGTTTCATACATTGTAAAGGATGCATGACATGTAGGTTTCGACAAGTATTGTTTTCCACTGAAAACAAGTTTAATATACAACTTTTAATATTTATTACGAATTTTTCTGTTTTGACTCGCATCGATAGATCAAAGTGTGATACTGCTTCAGTTTTAAACGGGATAAGGCCCCTCAAAATATCGTTGGACAGATTAAAAAATTAGCTTTGCAAAATACAAGAAAACACTTACCAAACATCCAAATGATGCCCTAATAAAGTCAAGAACCTTGCTTCCTAGTGGAGCAGATCCAGTGATGATTATCTTCACTCGGCCTCCTACAGTTTGTTGCACTTTTTTGAAGACTAGCTGATCCCAGATACTGTCCCTCCTAACCACGCCTCTAAAGCAATACATATAGTTGCGTACCAAATAAATGAAAATTTCAGTCTCTGTAAACTCTACTTATATATCAAATAAATACACGTTTAATATACTTATTAAAATACTCTTCGATTCTAGAGACTTACGGGTTGAAAAAGACCGGAACAGAAAACTTAACGGGGAACGCGAGAGGATATGATCAACAAGAGTTTGGAGTGAATTTTACCAGTTTGGACCTCATCACAGACAAGTTTCGTGTTTGACTCAAAGGTCTACCAATTTGAATGTGTTTGTCACTCTTTCAACAAGAAACCGTCGGCTTCACGAAAACTAGGCCTGTGCATGTTCATCAACGACAATGTTTCTGATGAGCCGCCTGAGATACATGATGTAAGGTTGCAGTACCCAAATCGGATCGGTACCCAAATCGGATCACTTTTTGCAAAAATACTTACAAATTAATAAATGTGTCAACAAATCAGTTATAACAATGATGTAATCTTAGAATAGATAGCCATGCACCAGTTTTTGTCTACAGATGACAAGTTCAAATAGCACAAGAAAACGTTTGCAAACTCAAATGTCAGTGTTTTGATTACGTTTTTAAAAAATGGCGCGTGCGACGACTATGCATTCTGTTTTGGTCTTAAGGAATAAATTCACACTGTAGAAATATTTTTTGTCATACAATTTCTAAAGGTCATTATAAAAGGTTAATATGCTAACAAAAAATATTCATTTGAAGCGTAAGATACTACATAATTCAAGCCTTCATCCGATTTGGGTCCCGACAAAAACAGGAGACGCTGATTGGTGACTTCAGAGCATTCTATAAATATCTCGAGTGAGCCCCGTTTGTGAGAACACCCATCGATATTCTATTTTTGACACAACCATGAATGAATATAATTCCTCCTTAGATTTTTCAATGATTTAACAAAATTATGGTTTGGTGATCCGATTTGGGTACTGTCACCTTATGTATGCGCATGTGTGGGTTAAAGTAAGTATGCGTAGCCTAGCTACTTTGTCAGTTCGAATTCGTGTCTGTGTCACAACATAGACGTATATACTACTGGCTTTATAAGTCTCTGGTCACAATATGACTGACACCCCCCCGTCTCCTCCCCACCCTGGTGCAATGTCTGAAAATACACATATGATATACTGATATGGGTTCTAGTTCTAACAGTTCTACCATATAGTGACCACCTTCAACTAATTGAAGATTTTGTCACGAAGTTGGGTTTATGCAGCACAAATGACAGACTATATATATATAACGATTACATGTAAATTTCATGAAGGATTAACTTAGAGTACACTCTATTTTTTTGTGTTATAGCTCCATAACATATAAAATATATTCAAGTTAATCCTTATAATTTAATCTACTAACACAATCCCTGTGAAAATGCACTTTTATTGATGGACTCTTTTCTCTTAGAAATTGTTACGCAGCTGTATCAGCCAATAAAAAGCGACGTTACAAACGGCGACGTCATCTTTTACGTTATGGGTTGATGACATATTTTTTTAAGCCAACTAAAATGCTTGTTACATGCAAGATTAAATTGTTGCGCTATAATATGAAAAAAATATTCTTCCATGTTACATTTACACAGCATAAAAATGTAAACCTCCCCTCCTCATTACACCTAATATATATATACTAGTATCCTCTCTAACACAGTAGCACTTTAATTGTTATTATTAATTTGAAATGAACCAGTACGCTTCAATTTTTTTTAATTCATATAACTTAGGGGTTTTACGCAGCCAACCCTGCTGTTTGAACAGTACTTTATACAAATTTGGATTTCCAACTTCGGACCCTAGCATCACCAATGAGTCCTAGAAGGACGACATAGCTATAAGGTGCAGTGTAATTCCTTTTTGGCATGCTGTATCTTTTACCAAATTTTAAAGGTTCATCTCTTGGGATGTCTTTATGGGAAAATGTCACACAATTTGACTAAAGTGTGTCTCATCAATTGTAGTATCAAATAAGGACTTAACTCTTGAATAATTTTGAAATATATAGGAAATTAACGGGGCTTTTCAGCTCAGCAGCCGAAAGTCAGTTGTTAAGTCGTAATCGTCTATCCCAGATGTTTCAATGTACAATAGTTTGGAAACAAGAACAACTCCGGGTTGAATCAATACGCCATATATACTTAATGTATATAGTGCAAGTCAGCCACACATCTCCATACCATTACACAACTTTCTTCCAACTATGAGATATTGGTGTCTGCAATGATTGAGGATATGATTTCTGTCTTTATACAAGACACAGTATGACAGCTTCCACTTGCGGAGCAGGAAACGTTTTTATCCCACACCATGATAGGTTTCCTCACTCTCAACTCATTGGATAAACCTGTTTAAAGTTGGTACACTTATGGGTAAAACCCTGGGCGTGTGACGTCAAATAACAATGATTTGCGACGTCATCTTCCATTGTTACGTCATAGATCGTGACAATTGTTCCCCGATCAGAAAAAAAGAATGATGTATTCCGAAGAGGACATGTGGTTTTCGAGATATGATATCTAAACCTTATACTAGGAGAAAAAAGGTACCAATCTCGTGATTGTTACGTTGTAATATTTATCTAATTCTCGTTAGTTATTTTCCGATCAGCCTTGTGTCTTTATATAATTTGAAAGTTAACTAACCCGAGTTAAATAATCATGATAACCAAACCAGTTCTCATTGGGGAACCTCTTTATCCTTCCAGAGTATCCAGTCTGGGCATTATTTGAGTACATGATGTCGACTAAGTCATTGCATGATGCAGCAACTTTGTGACGAGATCTGACTTCAATCTCCCGTACAAATGTTTTATACCTTACCTTGCAAAATACCTCTCCTTACCAAGAATCTTTAAACAATAACTGTTATTGCATTCTGGACATTTGCTATTTAGCGCTGCAAACTTATAAAAAAATATCTACCTACAAAAGTCTCATACCTTTGAACTTCTCTGGTTTTGGCATTTAATGCCAAATTAAGCAACGTTGTTTTTATTTTGCTTCCCTGTGCGCCTGATAGTACCTGCAACAGATCGAAACAGCATTAAACAGTTGTCTCTTCATTTGCAAATCACGTTTTAGAACAAATAAGTGATTGCGAATAGGCAAGGGGCAAATTAGATATTGTTATTGCCCGCAACTCTACTTTTTGTTACACCTAGTTTAACATACTCAAGCAACCCCAAGCATTCCCTCCTGATAAGTAACCTGTAAAGTAAAGGGTCAAAAGTGTGAATGACATCTGAATAACAACGGAACTATTACCAATTATATTTCGACCTACTCATCCACAGAAAACACAAAAAAAATCTCTTTAAAAGTAACCTGAACACTAAATATGGATATTATTAACAAAAAAAAAATGCATCGAAGTCTCTCAATAACAAATTTTCTTGTCAGAAAACCAATGCTTTACAAAAGGACAACACAAAATCAACGCTCCCTATTAGTAACGTGGGGAGACATAATTACCATTATCAATTTTAAATAAGTAGTAGTCACCGTATATTACACAAATTCAAACTACCTCTATTTGAATGCGTGACGTAGCAATAAAAATACCAGTATCTTTATTAGTTCTCACCTTGTCGTAAATGCGGTTGAGAAGCCTTGGCACGGTGATGAATATTGTGGGCTTAAGAGCTTGAAGGTCCTCAGTAAGCAACTTGATATCACCCCTGGAGAAGCCAACTTGGGCGCCGTGCATAAATGCTATAATCTTTTGGGAGAAAAAAATTGTACATTTTTTTACGCGTAGCATGTAAATTATCATGATATATGATAACTGAATGTTTGATTTATATGACAAGTTCACGATGTGTATTATTCGGTGTATATTTTTTATAGATAGATGCACTATGTTGACCAATGCGAAACTGTTTTACCGACAACGCTTCCATCAACGCTTAAGAACCTTGTCACAAAATCCTTCATGATAACGTAGTTAGATACTCCTTTAGATTCTGTCATAGTTATCCGTTTTAGCGGCAGTTGTTGGAGCACTTCAAAGTACCTGGGCATGCGCGAAAGTGGTTGAATTTGTAAACAAAATTGTCTTCTCAGTCGAGGCGAGAAGGTAAATACAAATACAATTCCGTGCATTTATTATGAATCAATAGCATCTTCCAAACCATATATAAATCATCGTCATAAATGCGTCATATATTTCATGTCCAAACCTACTGATATCCTATTTTGTGCATGGTCAAAATCCCCGCACGTTATATCCCCTTAAATTCATTTTTGTTCAAAACTATTTATCATTAGGCTTATATATTGTGATAAAATCATTGTTGCGACGTATTTCTTACATTCAAAAAGAAAAGATGTGTGAAATTAAACTCACTGTGTCGTCGACCGCGTGGTACAATGTTAATTTTGTGCAAGCAGCTTGTTTAATCATAAGTAGGTCCGGATGTTTTGTTATGTTTGTTTGCTCGAAGCTATATTAATCACACACTTTCCAAGAAATAAAACGGCCCATACTGAACATTGGCTTCTTGTCACTTCTTTATCAACTACGTAAACTTTCGTTAGTATATTATAATTTCGGTATCTGACCGACTTCTATGTGAAATATTTATCAAGAAATTTTACGATCTAAATGAACACTTGTCTGATTACCTGCATGCCCCTTTCAAACACGTGTGCCATCGGCAGGTAAGATAAATGTACATCCTGTGGGGTCACAGTGACACCTTTCTGAAACAGAGAGTGTCATACTTATAAGAAGGCGTTTGAACATTGGCTCTACTTCGCTTACCAGTTTGATTAATCATTTATTTTTGTTCATTTATTTAACATTTCTCGTGCAGACTAAGTCTCGTACTATCTCCCTTTTAGGTGACACGTGACAAAATATAAAGCTTATGTCATCCAAAACAATCACTTTACTGTCTGAGATGCCCTTAGCTCTAAAGATATCCTTGCCTGGTGCATACTCGTTTCAGTCAACGTAATTGACCCGTAATATCAATTAAAACCTCGGTTAATGTCTTCATGACATCTTACCTTTTCAATTTAAACTACTTTCTCGTAAATTAATATGGTTCAAAGATCACTTAAAAGTTTAGATTGTTGCCGTTTTCTGAAAACATGTGTTCAAGTTGAAAACAGATGCCATCACAGATATGGTTATCTACCGCTCTTAACTACAAGTATGTATTGTGTTTCTCAGTTACTCCTTTTTCTGTTTTGCGTTTCACAAAATGTTTAGATTATCTCGACTTTATTTTTCAGTTCATAAGTGTCTTCATCAAATTGTTAAAATACCAAATATTTGACGAGACAGACATTTCATTAAAAAAAAACAGCTAATGTCGCTCACTTGAAGTTTGATATCACTTTTAGATAAACATGTTTTGCATCTGAGAGAACAATGTTATTTCTATGGGTTTTTTTTTTAGAAATGATTACAATCTTTAAGAATATTGATAAAACTCTCCCTGTAAAATGCAGCTGCATTCATTTTTGAATACTCAATTCTTCCATTTTTGTACTCGGGTATGTAATTCAGTATCTTTTAAAGCAAAATATATCAGGACCAAATTTGAAAGTAATGAAGACCGTACATCGTTAATTATAATGTATGCATTATAATGATCTTAAAGAAAATCGGTTCATTATAATGATAATTAAAACTAGAATTCATGTGAAAAAACACACTAATACTTGCTTTGTCTACTCCCCATTTTTATATAATATTCACATGTTCCTCTATAGTCCTCATACATTTGTTATAGCTATGTGTTATATGTATATATGTGAAGTGTTATCACACTAGCTGACAGAAATAGTTGGGACACTGCTAATACGTACCAGTGCTACACAGCCAACAGCTGACATGTTACTGATGAGGTTTTGGTGAGAAAGCATTACACCTTTTGGGTCACCTGTCAAATGCAGAATCTTGTTGAATTGCAACATTAAACATAACTATACATTCAAGAACACATAATTATGACTATGACACAATGTAAGTATATGATCAATTGAAATAAAAAGGCCGAATAAAAACTTCAGTTGAAAATCATCATACTGGTAGGACTGTCATAATATAAATGCCACAAGACCGAATAACGTTCAGAAAATAAAGCATTCGCAATATCCATCAGCATCAGAGCAAATACACCAACATAACGCCTTAAGAATACGTGCATTCCTACATTACACACACGAAGGGAGTACCTTAGCTGTCAAAAGGACGTCAAACCAAATAAAATAAAGCCAACCGCGATCGATAAAATATGAATGGGACACGGACTATTAGAACGGAAAGTAAAGCCTGACAAATACCATAGCATACGTCAACATGTTTACATATAAAACTGGAAACATGAATGTGGTTTTGTTTTTCATTTTTATTACCATTATTTTCAATGGAATAACTCGGACAGTACATACGCACTTGGCTCGTTCTGAAGTAAGTTTTCATCCGGTTTATTGCATCGTTGTGAACGTGCAATTCGCTGTTCCGACATTTGAATTTTCTAAACATGTTACAGAAGGAAATTTGATTGTTGAAAAAGAGGATAGAATTACCACAGGAATTACAGGAAAAAATTCACGTGAAGCGATGATGCTCTTCATGAAACTTTCCTATAATGCAGGTGATATTCAAATTCGCCTTCACGTCAACTTAATAGAGTTCAATGAAGAAAATATCCTTATGCAATATATATCTATGCGCCTCGGGTATTACCTGTAGTTCCACTTGTGTAGCAAATAGTTGCCAGGTCTGCGGGAGTAGGGGGCTGTAACAACACAGAGTACAACACCAAACGTGGATAACAGAATTAGTTCGAGCTATAAACTTGTCCATGAACTTTTCCAATTACTTTTCAGTGATTCAAAAATATGTATCTCTCAAAAAAATGACACAAAAAATCCACAAACTTATACAACATTCAGTGGCATGCAGTAAAATCACCATCAAATCAAAAAGTGGTTAAAAACAAAATGTTTTGAATTTGAAGTTAAGATTGTTCGAAATTGGGAATGCAATTTTTGCTTAGGGACGATGACAATCGAAGACAAAATACACAATTAGGGATGATTGGAAGAGAAAATGGCACAGGGTCAATAGCAGGGATAATTCTTGTACAGGGAGTGGTGTTTATTATGGTAGGCAGCAATGTCCAGAAGAGGAAATAATGGAACAATCTATTTAAAGGTTAACAATGAAAATATGCGTTTAGTATTGCAGCAAATGTGACATGATCAAAGAATCATCGATAATTAAACTGCTTACCTTAGGGTCCTTTAGATTCTTCTGTCCAAGTGACTGTCGATATAGATATAACAGCGTTTAGTATGCATAAGACAGCAAGATCTTTTGTTAAAACACAAGGCAGTAAGATGTTTTGTTAAGTTTTATTATGGTGAACTATTCACGAGAATTATTTTAGTAAGAAGAAAATAATACATATAACTTTTCGATCGATATGGATTAAAATCTCTCATGTAATATTTCAAGCAATTATCATAATCAATTTGAGTAACTATAAAGTAATACGGCCTATTTCTCAAAACATCAATTCAGGACAGAGGGACTTCTGGTAAGTAATAATGCTATCCGTTTGTTATATCATCTGTATTAGCATCAACATAGCAAAGGTTACCTCTATAGCACTGAACTCTTTGATCTCAATCTTGGCTTCAGCGGCCTGTTGCACCAGCTCAGCTGTCGGCTCCTCTATCAGAATGATACACTTGAGACTTGGAGTCGTATCTACACTGGCCAGAAGGGTTTTCGCCTTCTCCGCCTTGTCACATACCACATGGGTAATACCAACTGTAGATGTAACATGGTAGTCATATATACTATATTGGAGTCGCACACTACCCAGTACGTCACATACAACATGGTAGACATAAATATACAACATTGGAGTCATATATACTAAATTGATGTCACACACTACCCAATACATCACATACAGCATGGTAGTCATATGTACTAAAATGAAGTCACACACTACCCAGTACGTCACATAAAACATGGTAGTCATATATACTAAATTGAAGTCAAACACTACCCAGTACGTCACATACAACATGGTAGTCACATGTATAACATTGGAGTCGCACACTACCCAGTACGTCACATACAACATTGAAGTCACATGTACAACTTTGGAGTCACACACTACCCAGTACGTCACATACAACATTGAGGCCACATAAACAACATTGGAGTCACACACTACGGTACCAAGTACGTCACATACAACATTGAAGTCACATGTATAACACTGGAGTCGAATACTACCCAGTACGTCACATTCAACATTGAAGTCACATAAACAACATTGGAGTCGCACACTACCCAGTACGTCACATTCAACATTGAAGTCACATTAACAACATTGGAGTCGCACACTACCCAGTACGTCACATTCAACAATGAAGTCACATTAACAACATTGGAGTCACACACTACCCAGTACGTCACATTCAACATTGAAGTCACATTAACAACATTGGAGTAGCACATTACCCAGTCCGTCACATTCAACATTGAAGTCACATTAACAACATTGGAGTCACACACTACCCAGTACGTCACAAACAACATTGAAGTCACATGTACAACTTTGGAGTCACACACTACCCAGTACGTCACAAACAACATTGAAGTCACATTAACAACATTGAAGTCACACACTACCCAGTACGTCACAAACAACATTGAAGTCACATTAACAACTTTGGAGTCACACACTACCCAGTACGTCACAAACAACATTGAAGTCACATATATAACATTGGAGTCACACACTACCCAGTACGTCACTACTACATCCTTTAATGTTATTTAACCAGTGTATTATGACGTCACTTTTACTCAAATTTAAAGCCATTCATTTTGTTGTAACCTTATTATGCTGACATTGGGAAGATGGAATGAAATATGTTTCTAAACGAATTTTATCAAAGAATGCCATCACTTACTCTGATTGATGATAAAGCTGCAAGCTGTGGTACCTAGGGTATCATAGAGGGGCACGGAGACCATTGAGAACATGATGCTCGCTTGCTCGGCCACCACGTACTGTAAATCACACATTATCGGCAAATTAAAATTCGGGAACCAAGACCGTTTTATCGGCAAGTTTGAGGTTCTTGTTTACAAAAATAAAAAATAAGCACATTTTGGATAAAACAACGACTTTGAGTGTTCGATTTTAGCAATTAAGCTACTAGCTCTATGATTTTAAGTTGAATATCTTTGATACATGTTCGATTTCAGTAACTGAGATATAGCTCTATGACTTTGGGCTAAGTTGAAAAATATTACTAAGACAAAAAGCTTGATAAATGTTTTTTCATAGATCTTTATCAGCTTTCTACATGATGTACACAAAAATATTCCAATATACAAAAATATGACGTATGCCACAAACCTCTATCCTGTTTAGGCTGTAAAAACCCACGAATACATCATTGCTTGCCGGTAGTCCTATTTCCAGCAGCCCCGACCCAAAGGCACAAGCTCGGTCATACACCTGTACGTAAATCGGCACTTTATAATGTAACAATGCTCATTTGAAGAATATTTCATTCAGACAAAAAAATACTTTTTTTCATTCATCATCCTAAAATTAAATGTTTTTATTATAGCTTAATCAGCTAAACCCCTGAGGATTTCATACACAAACACTTTTCCACTTACTGTGTAATAATTTCAATGGCAGTCTAACCATAAGAATACATTAAATTACCTGTGTATTTGTTCTTATTTTCATAGAGAACCTGGAATTTTGAATATCAGAAGTGCTATTTGTGTGATTGGAGGGGTCGACGGAGCCGTTGTTGACGGACGATTCAGAGGAACCACAGGACGACCACAGAAGAGGACTCGATAGATTAACTATATGGGGACCACATGGGATGAATGTCAGTGTTTTTAATCCATTAAACCCTGGTGAAATTGAAATATTCTTCTGACTATGCCAAGTTCAAAGAAATCAGAATTACCGAGAAGAAAATGAAAACATCGGCGGTGTGAAGTATACCTGTTGATATGAAAGCCACTCGTACTCCTTCCTAGGACCAGTCCTTGCTCCCAAACACGGCCCATTGTCTGTTCATCACAAAATTAACATGACAATGATGTAGACTTGGTATTTTTTGTTACTCACACCCATAAAGTAAACAGCTATCTAACAGACAGTAATGTTCCTAGACTGAATCCAACCATGTTCTAGACACAAAAAGTCATGCACCAGACGATCCCTATTTACATTTCTATGACACAAGTTTTGAGAAAACGCACCAGTTTTACTAGTTATTAGTTAGTTGTAATGATTCGACACACCACAACATTCATTAACTGAGAAAGACACTGAAAGGGTGTTCAAAGTTTGTGCTTTTAGTCACCGTGACTCTTACATGTAGCTAATTACAAATATGAGCTAACATGATCAGGTGTAACTGCATTTGTACTGATTAAATCTGGATTTTTATCAATAATTATTTAATACATAATTTGAATTGCATATCAAAGTAATCTTAAGTCTGACATCATATATAATAATCAGACATCACACACACATGTATATAATAATTAGACATCATATATAATAATCAGAAACCATATACAGTCGAACCTCGTTATCTCGAAGTCGACGGGATCGTTGGGAAACTTCGAGTTATCCGAGTATTCGAGTTAAGCGAGTTCCTATGTTTGGCATAAAGCTTGCTCACAATATGAGGCTATATATGTCGTTGATTTCTCTGACAATCAACATATTTAAACAGTCGGATAAATGACAAAAAGATAACTATATAAAATAAAAAAATAACAACATATTCATAATCTTATTAATTAATTAATATTACAATAAACACACATGCTGTCTCCGACCTCGTGCTATGCTGATAGAAATCTCAATGCGGAAATGAAAGTGCGCAAGTCTTTACACAAATCACTGTACTGGAGCGTACACGTTGGATTGCTCAGTTGATTTCGACATTCCACAAATGGGTATGAGTTAATCAAGAAACATATTCACATTGATAGACTCCACTGACACTTGACATTTCCTCAACACGACGTACTCAACAATAGTTATCGTATTGTTCCTATAATCTCTCAATTAGTAATCAGTGCCATACAAGCTCCTGTAAAAATATAAACCGGCGAACCAGTCCTAGGTTGTGATTTTTACTGTGGAGCTTATTTACGCATGACCGCACACTTTGACCCATTTTCCGGTTAGAATGTGTCGGCAGCTTTGGTGTATATAAAGTGCCATTCAAATTGTTTATGGGCTCGCAGTGAGTACTAATTGTTGTTAATCAACATTAATGAAATTTGTTTCTTTATTTGAACAAAGTGTATTTACAGTCAAGCACATTTTAATGCCATGAGTTAAATAGAAGTAATTATGACCGAGCGTAGGCTGCTCATTTAGAACGATGTTTACCGTAGCACTGCGTCTAATATGTATCAAATAATTAAAGAATACATGATAGACTTTTGAATCTTAAGAAACTTCGAGGTAGGAGATATTTTTATGTAGGATTTACGTTGTTGGGACCTATGAATCATTTCGGGATATCCGAGTTTTTCGAGTTTTCAGAGTTCGAATTATCAGAGTTTTTATTACTAAGATTAAGAAGAGTTTTGGCCGGGACCGATGAAATACTTCGAGTTAAACGGGGTCTTCGAGTTATACGAGTTCGAGATAACGAGGTTCGACTGTATAATAATCAGACATCATATATAATAATCAGAAATCGTATATAATAATCAGAAATCATATATAGTAATCAGACATAATATCTTATAATCAGAAATCATATATAGTAATCAGACATAATATATAATAATCAGAAATCATATATAATAATCAGAAATCATATATAATAATCAGACATCATATATAATAATCAGAAATCATATATAATAATCAGAAATCATATATAGTAATCAGACATAATATGTAATAATCAGACATCATATATGATAATCAGACATCATATATGATAACCAGACATCATATATGATAATCAGACATCATATTTATTCAATCATATTCACCATCCTGACGTATAACACTAGTATGAGATTTACCGAGATGACTACTGCCAACTTTGAAATAAATGAATCCAAGATATTTGAATTTTACCACTGGATAACTTTATATGTAGTAATTTCTCAGCGATAACTAGGGTGAAATATAACGCTCCACAACACAACATCTCCCGACTAACAATGAAATAACAAATCTGTGTCAACTTTGCCATTCTTCTACTGCAGGCACGAACATTTTACATCGGGTAAAAATGTGATTGTTCTAATAAAAGTCTTACATATGGCACATTTTAACTTACTCGACACGCGAAGTCCTCTTTGGAAACAGTCGTATGTAGTTCTAACATCATCGTATAACACTTCCAATAGCTTCCCGTCCTTCATAAAGTGAGAACATCTTGAGCCATCCTAAAAAGAAACAACAAAACAACATGTCACTATCAGAAAGGTATAATGGTTCCTCAGCTGCCTGGGACAGTTCTTTTTTAAACTTACTACCTCGACCAGATACATGTATAGGGTATCTCATACTCTCTAAATATAACGTCAGTGTTCTCAAATTGATACCGTACCTACACTGTTTGACAAAACAAACTGTTCGAAAATCCTCGTGAAGAAAAACTGTGAAATATCGTGTTTATGACGTCCCAACGTCAACATTTACCGTCTATTCAACGTTATTTAACTTATTTTCCGGTATCTCAGTACCTGTAATTAACATTCCTTCATGGTGACAATGTTCAGAAGCATAAATACCATACATTATTTTAGGCACGACACACATATCTACCTCTAGTATGACAGACTGGTTCTGGAGGTTGATAGAGGTGACCATTGGTTCTGCCCTGGTTGCCAGGTAGTACGTGGCTGCTGCAGTCACCGCAGCTGCGCCCAGGCCAACCATAGCGCCGCTACTGAGTCCGACACAGTCCATTGTCTTCTTGTACATCAGACTCACTGGCCCATCAGCTGATGAAGAAAATACATATAACCTCACTAAATGAGAATCGATATGTCAACTTCAATTTCATGAGGCAAAATATATCAACAGATAAGGTTTTAAAAATGAACCCGCATTTATCGTTCACGAAATCGAGTCCGAATGATCTCCTTGATAATAATAAAGCGCTTATGACATGTTGTCGATATTTTTTCGTTTTATTAATATTATATAAGTCACCAGTCATAAGATACACTTAATACAGTTTTCATTTATACATAATGACTAGCTGAACCTGTTGTACTTGTTGAAATGAAACCTGTCTACAACACCTCACCATATCAAGTGATATGCACTGTATGTATTTTGACGCTGCCAGTATTAGCATCAACTGATGACGTTATACCGTGGAAATCTTACCGTTTCCACGAAAGCTCCACTGGTAGATGGAATACCACAGGTACTAGCCTCGTCTGTCAATACACCTATAATATAATCGTATAGGTATATTGACAGACGAGGCTAGTACCTGTGAATATGCCACATGCTTTTTAAAGTATTTGAACACTCACAGTATTGTATGTTGTAATTAATGAAACAATATTACATCATACATCAACTTACATTATACCAAACAGTTTAAATGGCGGAGGAGATGCGTGTGTGTGTGTGTGTGTGTGGGGG